CTAATTAGCCTTTCTATAGGCACATATCTGTATCAAATTTCAACCCATATGGTTTTCTTTAAAAAGAGAAAAAAGGGAAAGAAAAGAAAGAATCCTAAAAGCTCACAAGGGACAAAAACATTTGCTAACATTTGTTAATACTCTTGCGATGCTCTCTCTCTCTCTCAGCTTAACTTTTGTAATCGTCTACCTGTCTTGCAAGTGTTTTGCCTGTTAATTCAGTGCTTTGGTGAAACGCTCCGCGCAGTGCCAGGCTCGTGCACCCTGCAATGGGCAGCGCTCACCCYGGCCGGAGAAGCAGCGCGAGGCTCCACGTGGCACCCCCAGTGATTGCTGGTGCCTCCCGCACAGCCTCAGGCAAGCGGATCGCCCGCAAACCCCTCCTATCAGGTACCTTCACCTGGATGTTTTGTGCTTCTGAAAATCATCCTCGCTGCTTAAGCAGGAGCGTTCAAGTACTGCGAATGCACCAGGATTTGAATGGATTCTTCGAAAAAGGGGATAGGAAAAACAGAACGCCCCTTTTAATAACAGAGAAAGGAATATCATGAGAAGACAGATTAGTCAATCCATGTTAAACTGCTGAGAGGCACAGAAATAGCAAATTTATTTTAAAAAGAATGTTTATTGATTATAATTTTAGGGGGCTTCTTAATCGTATGCAAATAGCAACACCCTTGTCCAATTAAGGTGTTTAATCTCATTGTGTATAACCTAAAATGTTATACACAGAGGATTTGCAGGCAGTCATTTCAATATTGGTATCACCTCARAATTAAAAAAATCTCAGTTTCATTATCTCAAGCATCAGCCATTAGTAATTACAGGAAAACAGGCAGGGCCACTGACATTTGCTGTACACTGCACACGAAAGTGCAATCATATATATGCAGCAAATAAGCCTGTACACTGGAAAAATATCATAAAACACTATTAWTGCAATATCATTGCATCTTGCTTCTCAGTCACTAAAGAAAACTGCAACTAACTATCACCATCTAGAGGAAAAATAAAAAGGCAAAAGCATTTTTCTTATCTGATCCGGTTTCTGTCTCTGTCTACAGATACACTAGGCAAGAAATTATTTTCTAATGGCAGCCGATGTGACGGATCAGCACTACATAATACACGGCACAAGGAAGTTTTCCACCACCTGGCTCACATTTCTAGCATTTGCTCTTAGACTTCCCTGATCCCTTTTTAAAACCTGTGCCACTTGGGTAGCAGGAGGTTTCTCCATAGCTACGTGATCGACCACAGTTACCAGCTACTGCATCCTTGAGCTCCTGGTGAAGAGCACGGGTTAATTATTTATTCAATAACCTCTTTACTGATACTGCAATTTAAGACAATTCTCCGAGGAACAGGCCAGAATGGGAATCTCCATTGTGAATAAAGAATTTAAAAAAAAAAACTATTTTTTCTATTACGATTTTATGCTGAGACCTTCCTTGATAGCTTATTTGTCTTACTGGCTTGACCAAATGGTCTCTTTCTAACACATGACAAAAAGCAGCATTTAAATTCATGTCGTTTGGACGCTTCTCCCACAAAATTTTCCTTGGCCATCACACATTAGCTTTATATTTATATCCTATGGAAAAAAAAGTATCTATTTTTATATATATAAATATTTATATCCTCTAAAATCTATAAGCTATCTTGTTTCCATCCTTTGGAGATTACTTAAAATATTTTTGGAAAAAAAAAAGATCTGCTTCTAACAGCTTCCCTTACTTGCTGCTGAGCAATCCTCTGCGGTGTCTGCTCTTTCTCCAGTCTTTAAATAGGTTACCCATTTGCTTTCAGCAATAGCTGAGCTTTTAAGTAGTCTCCTTGATGCCCACAAACCATCGGCTGCTCCTTTCAGCTTTACTTCAAACCGGTTTCCTCACCTTGTGATACTCTTTTTRAAATTAAACATTATAGCAGTGGACTTTCTCCAATTTAAACTGTACTTTTAAATTTACTTAGTAGATATAGGATAGAAATTGCTAATAGTCAAAGAGGTAACAGGAAGCAAACTCATCTAACCACTGCATAGAGAAGAAAATCAATGCGATGGTTCCTCAACAATTACTCTGCAACACTCACCAAAATATATTTGGATTTAATAGCCTTGCAGGAACAAAGAATGGAAATGTTAATTTATTTAGATTCTTATTCCCATCCCAAACACCTGCTCTCCCGTATATGCAAGCCTTCCTCTGCTTCTCCCTTTATACATTCTCCTATGACCTTTAAGCACTCGCAAGCAAGTCCTGCACGTTAGGAGTTATCCCTCCTGGAAAGGTCCCCTCTGCCCCAGAAACGTCCCAACCCTGAAGCGCAAGGGCCGAGTTTCAGAGCACGTTTCAGGCAGCAGTACTGGTAATACCAGCAGTCTGCACCACCAGTCTGCACCACTCACTTCCCTTTACACTGACTGACTACGAGCATATTTCTTACATGGCTGACACACAGTTATAAATTCGTTTCCATTTTTCTGTCTTTGGAGAAACAAATGATAAAACAGCAAAAGAAAAAATTTGCTACAAATATGATGGCTCTCAGAACCGAGCTCAGTCCTAATCATCACTCCTAGTCCTTGCCTCAGGTTCAGTGCACAACAGCAGTCYGGCAAACACCCTCTTTCACAACTACTGCATTGAACCAACTCCTTGCAATCAGCGGCACACGTTTTGGGAGACATTTAACAAGAAAAATGCACAGTGCTGCGGTTAATGCTGTTACAGAACAYACATAATACCAACGTTTTACAAATTAATCCTTTTTCCTCCAACTATAAAATGAAGCCCATGCATTCAGCAAGCACATGACTACATCCATGCCAGGGATGTGGCTGCCACCCCAACTGCAAGTTTTCTTCATAGTACTACACTATCCAGGAAAGTCTATTTAGGAAAACACCTTTAAAACAAATGGCAAAAAGCAAAGTTACCTGCTAGACAGATACTCTCCTTTGTCACGATGTCATTACTGAGATCAAAAACCATCAGGAGTGCTATTAATGTATTCCTCCWTAAGGAGAGATCTCAGCAGGTATCAAGATCAAATTTTCATAAAAATCACAGAAGTTTTAGGTCACATATATGTTACCTTTCCCCCTTTTGTCTTTTTTTTTTTTTGGGGTGGTAGTGTTAATATTGAAAGACAAAGTTGGGAAATGCACAACCTTTTCCACCAGTGGAACTCCATGATGTTCCTGTGCTGCTCTGCAATTAAAGGCAAGACATTTCTATCATAGGTCACCATAAAATTTATCTCCACTACCAGTAAAAGCAGTCAAACAAAATTCTTCAAATACCTAAACCAATAGTAACAAACATGCCTTGCGGTTTCATGGAGCAGAAGACATTTAACTTACACAGAATATAAACTAAGATTTTTCCAAATGACAACTGACTTGGAATATATCAAATATGAGCGGACACTTTAAAGCAACACTCATGAAACTCAAAAAGCACTTAAATATCCTGGGAAGCACTTCTAGATCCCATCAGCTGAATGAAGCATCGTAGAGTGCTAGGACTCTTCCAATACCATTTGCTGTTTACCACCTCAATGTTCAAGGCATTCAGCGCAGCCTTGCGACTTGCCTCTAGCCTGCGCGCCAACCCTTTCGCAGCAGATTTGCCGGAGGAACCACAAGCAGTGCTGAGCACTGACGCTCCCACCTTCTTGGAACAGGACAAGAGCATCTTTGCCAGACTGCSGGGCACCGTGGCAAGGAGATCTGCGAAGTCAGAACTGGGGAGATCACAAGGCACAGCTGAGTGAAGAAGTGCTGGGTTGGGCAGAAAGCAGCGCGTGGTGATGGAAACTTGGGAGACCATGAAACAGCAACGCAAGATGAGCCTGGCAGGCGAGCAGGAAGAACGCGAGCTGCACTGGCAGTCACGGAACTACRGCATCAGCAGAGAACGGGAGGCACTGTGTGCCCTGCAATGCTTTCTGCGCCCGCAGAATCGTGACCAATTTTGCAGCCTGTGACACACGAGGGTGTGGGAAAGATGACAGTGAAATAGCAAAAATAATCACAATTGTCAACACATTACATTTCCACAAGCATTTGTACATCTGAAGTTTTCATTAATTGATTATTCAATGCTTTTTAATGAATTACTGACAGTTTGGTATTGTCAGCCATTCTTTACTTCACTAAATGCTTATTTTTCCTTCTCTTTTGGAAGCACGAAGGACTGTGTGCCTGTATTTTTCAACTACTAGCTAACACATCATAAATGATTCAAAATTCTCCAGAAATCATTGATCCAAGTAGGAAAGGATTGTTGATGAGCTTCAGACATTTTGTTTGGAGCTAAAGAAATAAGGCTGAAACAGGAAATTTTGGGCAGCAGAAACAATTCACAATAAATGCAGACGTACCGGGAGAGCACAAGAAGAGCTATTTAGAGTTTGTCCTGCCTTTCTAGCTAAAGAGGGTCACTTTTCTCAAACTGAGGACCCACATCTCGAGGAACGGGCTGGGATGGCAGCGCTTCACGTGGCTTAGAGCACGAACCCTAATTYAGAACTGGCAGAAGCAGAACCCACTATGAGCACACATGAACACCCCCATGACACACAGCGAGGGCTGATGCACTAAGCAAATGTTTTTGAGTAAGCCACACAGGTGAGGTCCTATCTGTCTTTACAAGCTTCATATGTAAGAAAATAGATAGCATTTATGGTCACCGATGTCCCAAAAATGAGGCAGAATATTTGCAAGCACACACAAGGCGGCATTACTGATCACTGTTGAATGGCCTTGCTGTCTGTCCAATGCAATTTTTTTTTAAACATACTTTTATTCATCTATTAAAAAACAACCCTCAAAACAGGCAGCTTTTATCATCTACACAATCCAAAGGATGAATATAAATGCTGCTATTTATTAGTGCATTTTTCTAAAGGGATTAAGATATTTCAAATATTAAAATATTGCATTTCAGTCAGCTACRTTATCTGTATTATCTGTTAAAAAAAATATTACTTACCTGATAAACATGAAATGCATTAGCAGCTTTTCCACGCAGAAAGACTGAAGGAATCCAAACATTAATAAGAGCACGATTTGATCTGAGCAGGAAAGAAAGAAGTTTAAAATAGGGATTCATGTTTATATAGAATTAAAAAGAAACAACCTTCCGTAATTTTGATAATGGTCAAAGTGATCAACAAGGCAAGTGAACATTTCAAACAGAGTATCAGAAAAGTCCTACTGCYGCCTGAACCTTTTATAACTGCTATAGCCGGAATTCTTCTCTTAAGCTAACCTAACTGGAAAAAAGCAATGAAAACATTTCCTTTGTCTTTCTATGGTTTGCATTAACAGTACTTCATGATACACAGGAAAAAGAAAAAGTGACTCATTTCAATGAACTAAGCAGGAGAGAGAAAAGTTAAATATAGGGATTCGTGTTTATATATAAAAATTGAAATGTACCAAGCTCCAGTTTTCTGAGTGATCAAAGTGATCGACGAAGCGCACATGAAACTTCCCCCCAACTCTTTCAACCTCCAGCAATTTTCAGGTTCTATATATTTGGTAACCCTTAACAGATCTCTTTTCCAGGTCTGTGTGTAACACATTCCCATGCGCTCTCTTGGTAATTTATTCTGACTTGCAATTTTAATTTATTTCAAATATGCTAAAAAGACATTAGCTACTTTCTCATCCCTTCACCTATAGGAAACTATATGCATTAGTCTGAGTAACAAAGGCAAAACTTAAATAATATGGATGACCTTACGCTTATTTTTTATATTTATATATATATATATATAAAAATCTGTATGCAAAGATTAAGAGTTATGATACAAAAATCAAAAAACCATCAAATTATTAATAGCATGCATTTTCTTCCAAATTCAAAGCAACAATAAATGACTTTTCAGTCCTGTCACTAAAACCAAGTTCCTTTCTGTTTGATTACTACCAGGTACCATAGCTACCAAAAATCACTGCATTGAAAGAATTGAGCTTAAGGAAGAAATCTGCTCTCAGGAGAATCTTCTTGAATCTAAACTCATCGGGTTCATTATTCAAAAACTAAACCAGCATTTCAACTGTGGAAATTCTCTACTGTGAAAGTTCTCTACTTTCCAACCATGGAACACCACAACTGAAGATTTGGTTATTGGAAATAGCAGAMAAAAAAAAACACAAATTATTTAATCTGTTCGCTTGTTCTTCATTCCTATAAAGAYAGCACGGAGAGAAAAACGTGCATATCAAACAACTTACATTTCAAAATCTGACAAACTCTGATCTTCAGATGTTTGACTCAAATCTCCAGGGACCTATATCGACAAAATAGAAACAATTTCCACACTCTGGTTAGTTTGCTTTCTCTTAAGAAATCATAGTGTCATAAAGAAATTACAATTCAACACTCAGGTTTTTAAATGACAGTGGAAAAAAACTATTACTGGAGAGCAATTAAAGAAAAATGAAAGGCTGTAAAAAGTAGCATGAACATATCATCCTTGTGAGTTCTCAAAGTAAGAATTTTCTAGAGCTTTGTAAAGAAACAACTGGGATTGGTACAAGCATGTAATTTTTAAAGGTTTTAAAAAAATACTCCTCAAAATCTAATTATCTAAAATACGCTAACTGGTAATATTTCTACCGCAAGACTTGAGCTGATTTTGCCTCTCTATTCTTCAACAGAAACACCTAAACAATTAACACAACACCTAAACAATAAAAATTGTATCATGATATTTGTATGATGGCTGCAAAAATCCCACGTTTTGTGCCTTTTGTCCCAGCTAGGCTGACCTGCCCCTTCCTGGCTGCACCGCGTGCCCACAGGAACGCCGTCCCGGCGGGCAGGCCAGGSAGCGGGGCCCTCCCCGCAGCCCTCCTCCCAAACTCCCACCCGCTGTCGGCCTGCCCAGTTTTCACGTCAGGGCATTCTTCAGCAAAACGTTTTTTGGTATATTTGGTAGCCCCCTTAATGGATTTTTTTCTGGGTGCTTGATAAACTTTACACAGCCCTGTGACTGTAGAAGCAGTGTGATAAAATTACCCTTAGTTTGGCTTGAACCCACTTATGGGCAGGGGACGCCATGAACAGCTTATCTCCATCCACTGCCCAACATTTTATAGTCCTCTCCCTTCCTTTTCCAGGAACCTGCTGTAATTTTCCTGTGTCACTTTTGAGACAAATGCACAAAAACTACAGACAAATCACAGTGGAATAAAGCAGGGATTTATAATAGCAACCAAGTTTCCACGGATAGACATAGTTCTCCATTCCACTCCGTTCTTTAGCAAATGTCTTGCTTGCTTAAAAAGATGCAGTGTCTTGTAACACATAAGGAAATTAAGTTTTACTTTCAAGGTCTTGCAAATTGAGAAGGGCTGAAAGCTGAAATTCTCATTTAAAAGACCAGGTGCATAGCAGAGTGCTAGTTCAGTGCTTATTAGCACCCACAATCCTTTCATCCTTCTTCCCCTGTGTGTATGTGTTCATAAGATGTTTTCAGTTGGTCTGTGTTCGAGTTAAGCGGATTATTCATAAACATTTACAACCTCAGGGCATCCTCAGTCTCTCATGTGAGAAAAAAATATATTACACAAAAAGAAGCTTTACAATAAGCAGCACAATTACTACAGAGTTTTCCTGAAGACAAGTGCTGGCAGCTCAAGGGAGAAACCTAATAAAACATAAGCCAAAATTGGAYGTCTGAAGGCATTCTTCCTGCAGAGCAGCAGTAGCATCACATCGTGTCTGTATAGGGCATAGTTTATTATACACAATTAAGCAAATTATCTTTAAAATGCTAAGCCAAACATCTCCAAGTGCTACCATTTAAACCTAAAGAAAAACACAACCTCCGAAAATATCAGCTTGTCCTTAGCTGTCAGCAAACAAAGCAAACCTGCCCCTTCTGTGACACATGAAAKCTGCCTTACATAAGGTCGAGAAAAAATAATAAAAGGGGAAAAATAAGACGGAAAATATTAGGGGGAAAAATCTATGAGGGAAGGGGAATAAAAAGGAAATACTAGAGACAGCAGCAGCTGAAGAAGTAAAGCCAAGTATAAGAGGGATGTGAAGCTTCTAGAGAGGGTCCAGTGGAGARCTACAAAGATGACTAAGGGGCTGGAGCATCTCTCGTACGAGGAGAGAGCGAGCGAGTTGGGCCTATTTAGCCTGCAGAAGAGAAGACTGAGAGGAGATCTGATTAACACGTATAAGTTCATGAAGAAGGAACATAGGGAGGAAGGGGCCAAGCTCCTCTCAGTGGTGGCCAGTGACAGGAAAARGGGCAATGGGTGTAAGTTGCAACACAGAAGTTCCATCTGCATGTAAGGAAGAACTCCACTGTGAGGGTGCCAGAGCCCTAGCACAGGCTGCCCAGGAAGGTTGTGGAGGCTCCTTCTTTGGAGGTCTTCAAAACCCGCCTGGACGCCACCCTGTGCCCCATGCTCTGGGTGCCCATGCAGGAGCAGTGAGGTTTGACTAGATGATCTCTAGAAGTCCCTTCCAACCTCAACCATTCTGTGATTCTGTGAAAAGGCGAGGTTCCAGCAGAGCATCAAAAAGAAATGCACTCAAAGATCTGAAACTAATTCCAACTCGTTATGTGGCTCTATTGAGAGTATTCGGTATTTGAGCTGAGCATTTCAGAAATGAGTCTTTGATTTGTCTGTCCCTTCATTCCCACTGCTACCAACTCTAGGATTCACACAGTTGGAATAAAGGTGTTGTCACAACTTTACAATGAATGTCCCTACCTGTATTTAAAATGCAAACTGCAAACAACAAAGACACAGCTATCTTCTCTCTGCTGATATCGCATTTCTCCCTTTTTTAATGAGAAATTCAAATTTTACTCCTAAATTCATCTTTATTCTCCAGCTCTCCTTCTCCTTAATTATCAGTACCTGGGACATACTATACTAATATTTTTCCTAACACATCCTACGATAGAAAAAGAGTAGGACTATAGACAGATGTTGTTATACCTTGTTTTATGTTATTTGGCCTGATAGTGAGATTAGCTCAATCAGTTTAAGGTATGGTTTACATGCTGTCATGAAACTACGGTGAAAATAAAACAGAATTTGAGACTGAATATATGTATTAATTATAGAGCCTTATTAATCACATATACCCATCTTGCTCTCTTTTTCTCTAAGAAAAAAAGAAGCTCCATAAATATTCCATCAAGAAAATCCTTAGTGTGTTCATGAAGATAAATTCATCTTTACTGTTCATGAAGATAATGCAAACTATATAATATCAATCAATCAACACCACCAATGTAAAATACTATTAAATGATATTTTAATTGTAAGAATCAGCAGTAGTTGAAATAAACAGAACACATGCAACTTGCCCCAAAACCACAGTGACGTCAAACCCACAAGGTCCAGGAGCTAGCTATCATTAACTCCAGGTAGAACAGTGTGTAAAAGTCTGAATATGTTTTATAAAGAGGCTTTGAATGAGATTATTTTGTCCTACTGAAAAAAAAAAAATAGTTCAATACCTAATTTTACCAATTTATAAATACCTAATTGCTGGATTAGTGTATGTAAATGCATGATAAAAAACAAAATCTCTGAATAAGGACATAAGGYTCATAACCTCTGAGCACAGTAGAGCTGTGTGATTTAGTATTTGTCATTTTTAGCACAATAGTGTGATTGTTTGCTTATGGAAGTGTAAAAACAATAAATCAAATCCTTCTTCTTCCCTTACAAACACAGGACTCTCRTCAGCCCCTTTACGTAAGCATTCTGCTAAAATAAGCACGAATGCACACAGTGCAAGCAAAACCATTCAAGGAAACTTTCAAACTTGCTACCCCTTAGTACACAAGTCTTAGGGACTCCTCTTGTTCCTTCCCTGTTCACATTTCAACTCAACTTTTTCTTTAACCCCACGGGGAAAGCAATAGCTGAGGGAAAACAAGCATTTCTGGGATATTTAGCCATCAGCATCTTCTAAACCAACTAATAGGTCACTCTTAGCTATTAGTTCTTATAACCTAGTGTCTATATGTATAGATATAATTTACTAAGGGAATCACAGAATGTTCAAGGTCGGCAGGGACCTCTAGAGATCATCTAGTCCAACCTTCCCGCTCAAGCAGAGACACCAAGAGCATGTGGCACAGGGTGGAACTCTTGTCCTGGGGAGCCCAGGACTGGCCYCAAWGCTCCTCTACGTGCGGCCTGACCAGAGCTGAGCAGAGGGGCAGGATCCCCTCCCTGCCCTGCTGGCAACATCCTCCTGATGCAGCCAGGATCCCATTGGCCTTCTTGGCCACGAGGGCACTTGCTGCCTCATGGTTAACTTGGTGTCAACCAGGACTCCCAGGTCCTCTCCAGCAGGTCAACCYCTAATCTGTACTGGTGCCTGGGGTTATTTCTCCCCACGYGCAGGACCCTGCACTTGTCCTTATTGAACCTCMGGAGGTTCCTCTCTGCGCACCTCTCCAGCCTGTCCAGGTCCCGCTGAATCRCAGCACAGCCCTCTAGAGTGTTGGTCCCTCCACCCAGCTTGGGATCGTCCACAGACTTGCTCAGGGTGCCCTCGTCCAGATCACTGATGAACAAGCTGAACAGCACCGGGTCCAGTACTGACCCCTGGGGACGCCACTGGCCACAGGCCTCCAGCTGGACTCGGCCCCATTTATCACCACCCTCTGAGCTCTGCCGTCCAGCCAGTTCTCAATCCACTTCACTGTGCAGAGATTGGAAAAGAGATTGTATTCAACAGGGCAACACACAAACCAGTCCTCTTAAAATACTTACCGGTCCTCTCAAATCAATTAGTTCTTGTCTCATCTGGGACACAAGGGCTTCTTTAGCCATCAGAGCCCGGTGCAGCCTCTCATTGAATTCAATCAGCTCCCCATGCATTTCGGCCACCTGGAAAACAAAGCCAACACACAGGTAAATATCCTCCAACCTAAAAACAAACACACACCCAACAACATAAAGTCAACATAGAACTTCTTAAGTATGTACTAACTTTTCCAACAGTTGTCTGTTAACTTGACTGTTAATGCATTAGTCTGGACTGAACTTTAGACTGTTACAGCAGTACCTTTGACCCGTTCCTCGAGTGGAGATGTGGATACCAGATTCCAGTGCTCCTTTCCGCAGGTTACAGGGCCTCTCGCAAGGCCCCGGGGGCAGCTGCCCGAASCCATGGGGGCCAGGGCTAACGCAGGGAGAGGGGCTCAGCCCCACGTCACCAAGGGCAGGGGCACTTACACACCCACCACATCTCCTCTAATGCTTCCAAGGCTGGCCATCTACACACAGTTCACTACATCCCACGCTGCCCTTTTCTTCAACCCCCAACTCTTCTTTCTGCCTCCCTCCCAATAAAATTTCACCCMAAAGTTGCTGAATTTGTTTTAATTTAGTGCTGGAAAACGGAAATAACAGCTTAGTTCAGGTGATCTGCGCCCTTCACATAATCAAAGGAAAAAGAAAAAAAAMCAAAACCAAACAGTTTCACTTTGACAAGCCAGGCGTTTATATCACTGATACATAAGAACAGATAAATGAAGCTGAACTATTCTTTCCAAATTTCCTTTTCTTCTGCAGGGAGTTCTTCAAATCCAGTAATTCATCATTTTGCTGTATAGGCATAAGAGCCAAGCCCAGATATGATGCGTTGGGTATGATCTGACTGAGGTGCCTACACGGACACCTCAGACCCACCCTTTAATTTACCAACTGTGGGATGCGTGGCTAGTTATAAACTGAAGATCAGGCATGAGCAACTGCATTAACCATTTATTTTCTTTGTAAAGGGCCTATCAGAAAGCAYAAAAATCCAAAGCTTTCACAGAGTGATTATTTCACCCCAAACATTTATTCTCTTGCCTGAATATACAAACGGTTTTGGATTAACATTGACTTCTTGCATTATGCACAGTATAAAAAGCTCCCGCGCTCTGCTCCTCCTTACTTCCAAAGAGCAAAGGCTTCACATGGCAATAATGAACTTCCAACATTCAAAAATATTTTCTTATTTACTGTACTATTGCAGGTTGCATTTACTGCTTTTGTTTTCTTCCTTTGTCAAGCATATCTGTTGCACTTAATCCCATTAGGAAAACTAACTTCCAAGGCTTACTTGATTTAATAATTAGATTATTTTCTGGCTCCTTCTGATAAAAGTCAGAACATCACAACTTCCACGCTATTATTTAATGGTATTATGTGTTCACAAACTATTAATTCAACAGTAGCCTGGAAGAAAAAGGTAATTTATCTTTGAGTACTTGTTAGCAATGAGTAAGCTTATTCTGTGAACTGAAAACACATGCAAATCCATAGGAACATCTGCATTACAACTAGCCCAGTGGATGACAGTCCCAGCGGTTTGTGTGTCGGGAAGCATGCTCTTTTTTACAGTTTCTATCAGAACAGTAAAACACAAAATATCTCACAGGCTCTTTGACTTCTTTTCTCTCTCTCTAAATGGGATGCCCGCAAAACAACTCTTCTGCTGGACTGAAACCTAAATTCAACAGCTCTCAAAACAGCGGAAGTAGCACAAAAATAGACACAACCCCCAGCAAAATGAAATCGTAATCAAGAGATACCCATCAAATCAGAGTGCCAAATTACTTGTTATATATCTTTACAAGGGCAAAATGATAGCTATGTTGCTTGGGAATATTATTTCTACTGGTAATTAAGTTCCTTGAATATCTGTGYGAGGAAAAAAAGTATTAAAAGCTTGGTGAACTCAACGGCAACGAGATGCACTTCTGAASAGCAACATAATTTAGATTCCTCTGATTATTCCTCTGGACAGCAAGATTTTAGCTCTTTAAAATAACTCTATCAAGGTCTGCCAAAAACAAGCACAGAACATTTCTTATCATTTTTATTATCCCTTTGGATRTTTTCACAAAATTCCAAATTAAACCAAGCATTTCACTCTGTCAGCCCATTACCAGCTGTATTTCTCTTTTAAGAATAATTTGGTCAATTTTTCTTYTTTTATTCCTATCAATGCGTAAGTGGCATTTCATGGGAAAAATCATTTTTAAATCATGTTGGTTTTAACTGTTATTTTTAATTGGATTTCTTCATGTGTACAGCTGGGTACTATGTAGATCCAGGGAGTCCTTTGGCAATAAAGGCTACAATTCTGAGAGTTAAAGGAAGAATTTGAAGAACCAGGTTTTGTTCCGTCATTTAATTTCTTTAGAACTTGTGTGCCCACAAACTAAAACCCACACTCACTCAACTCGCAATGATTTCCAACCTGACTTTTCAAATCTTTGTGGACTTTTACTATGACTTCTTCAGCATATTAATTTTAAATATTAATTTTGAAAACTAGATTTCATAGGTAGTACTCACGTCAGCTAGAGATAGCATACACGCCATCCAGGATCTGATGCTGGTTGCGTCCATAGCCGTGTTTAAAGCCCCCCAATCTTTATCACGGGGAAGGGGGACCCATGCACAAARCCTCCGGCAGCCCCGAGCTGCTCCCAGCCCGACGCACGCGAGCGGCGGCCGCGGGAGGAGAAACAACCCAACAACTCRCGACAGAAGCACGTGCACCGCGAGCCGAGGTGAGGCTTCTCAAAAGCTTTAGAACAACAGTAATTTGCAGTTAAAAACTTTACATTTTTTGCACAAGCCTTATTTGCATTTAGGGCTGTTTGTCAGGTATTTCCCCTTAAAATCATCATAAAAACAAGAACTCTTATTCATTTCAAGATCCAAAGCRACTCACTTCTCAAGCAGCCCTGCACAGAAGTCACTTCCAGTTGCTCTCTGCAGAAGCAAGGCTATATTTTCCTCCATGAAAAGATGCCTCTTTCAAAACAGAAATTCTCCTCCATTTTTCCCCTAATAGCAATGAAACGAAACGTCGTCAAAAAAGGGCAGGTCTCCTATTGGCAGGTCTCCTATTTTCTACAAGAAAGATCAAAACTCCAAATGCCTCCAGCCTAATGCCAAGCCAACTTGTAGCTACTCAGGAGCACCTGCTCCCTTTGGTATTGCAAAGGCTTTCCTAAGACTGCAACAGTCTTCTCCACTATTTGAGTATAACAGTAAATTTTACTGTTACTTTAGCCCTCACTGTCAGGTTAGAAGCGATTACTTGGGAAACTGTTAGGTGTCAAACAAAGAAGGCTAATTCTGACCGATAATCCCTGCAGCACAGTGCCTGGGTAGCGGTCGCACACGAGCTATTTTGGCTAGCATCAAGTCATTAAAATAAAACTTATCTTCCAGTTCCAGCCTGAGAATAAGTCTGTCATAAAGACTGCAGCTGACATTCAAGGAATCATTTCAATTTGGCTCTGAACGGCACTATAACCCGGGCAGAATTCTCTGCTTAATAATTCAAGACAACTCTATTTATGTGACCATGAAATGATTAGTCCTTGCTTTCCTCTCTGCTGCTCCATTCATCTTCTGGGTTGTTGCCATATCTATCTGCAAGCAAATTATTTGATTCAAGGCAGACTGAAAGATCCACTCGTTTGATTTTATTTTAAGGAAAGGTATATTGGGGAAGCACTKGTCTGTTCATCAAAACCAACAAAAAGAAAATTATCAGTGGCTTTCTACTCAAAATGCACTTTCAGCTAATGTACCAAAAAGAGTATTCAAAAGCTTGTGGATGAAATTAAGCAACCAGGACACATAAGAATGAACTCACATAGCAGAGCTACTACCAGGAGGCCACTGTACATAGTTGTTCTACCTCCCACTGTTGAGAYAGCAGCTCTTGCAACTAACTTCATTGGATTCTAAAATCATGGACTAAAAGAAAAAATTAAAACAAAGAGGTTTTCTCTCCTGCATAGTAAGCCATGATAGGAAACAGAGCTGCTTAAACACATGCCAATCCACGGCTTCTTTCACAGATAATAAATTCTTGTCCCCTATCCCCTGCCAGCAAGGCTGCCTGCTCCTCAACTGCTACCTGTCCTTTTCCCTTCAATCAAATAACACGACACAAGAAGTCAATGGCCGCTTAAGCCGCTATTGTCAAAGACTCTATGACCTCAAAACACAGTGTGCGTTTCACCTAAGTAGCTCTGTCCATATTTTCCCAAGTGATTTAACAAAAGAGACAATCTCTCCCAGGAACTCTTTCCTCTGTAGTATTAACTTGTAGCACTTACAATACAGTGGGCAAGACAGGAAACAGCCACAGTTCTCAGTAAACGCCACGATTCACTGTTTTGTGGGTTTTTTTGCTCAAAAGAATTTGCAGAAGACTTGAATCCTCATCAGCATTATTTACTGTAACCTCAATATAAGCAGCAGCGACTCAGAACGAAGCTGGTTTACAGAATCCCAGAATGGTTGCGGTTGGACGGGACCTCTGGAGCTCATCCAGTCCAAGCTCCAGCTCCAGCAGGGACACCCCGAGCACGGGGCACGCGGTCACAGCCAGCAGGTTTGGAAGATCTCCAGAGAAGGGGCCTCCACAGCCTTCATGGGCAGCCAGTTCCAGGGCTCTGWCAGCCTCAAGTTTAGTTTAGCTTGCAAAAGGGACACAAAAACCTGCCAGGGTGCCAGTGACACCCAGATCCTGCCGGAGGCACGGAGTCGCTCCTGGTGGGTGATTCTTTCCTTCGCCTCCGAAAGGAAAACTGCTCGTCACGCTCATCAGCCAGGAGCCTGTCAATCAGAGACATCATACACCTCATCTGGAGAGTTACASCTGACACTTCAGAAGTCACAGAAAAATCAGCTCTTGCCAATTCACTTCAGGCACTGCCGCATTTAGTGCTTTACCTGTGTACAAATCATTTGATTTGTAGGCAGAGCGAGCTGGATGTTTCGAAGCACGTAACCGGGTTCCTGCAGCACGAGCAAAGCCTCGTTGCACATTTGTCTCATGCTGAAGCAGCACTTGAGGCAGATCTAACAAACCGGCTGTACCATCAAAATYCCCCCTATTTCTGTTTCCTAAACACAAGTCCTAAAGAAAGAGGTAGCGATATATTCTACCAAACAAAGACCATTTTACAAAGCTCCTAGCATGTTGTGGGCAAGTTTTTATCGAGCGAGTTTTTATATTCGCTGAGCAAATACCTTGCTGTATCACAAAGGCTTTTTGTAACACAGAAAACAAAACCTATGTGTTTCATGGGGAACATATGTGATATTCTCACATTTATAATTTCTCCCATCTTTGAAACTTCAATTGTWTGATGGAAAAGTACAGAAAAATTCTTTAAGCAAAAACTCTGTAAATAAATACATTTTTAAAAATGGAATAAAATTATCTTACAATGCATCTCCAGCTTCCTAAAGATAGTGGAAGGCCACCTTAAAAACCTGTCTTCTACTAAGAAGAAAGGTCAAATGTTTAAAATTTCCTTAAAAGATGACCTATTCCATTAGAGCAGGCCACTCATTTATTTGTTTTGTGTAATTGCTTGTTCGGAGAGGCTTAATATACTTTAGCCATTTGAGTAATTTTAACTTAAGTTGAAATGAAATTAAGTTAAAATGAAAATTCAGCCCAAATTGCACCTTGGAGGGGAAAAAAAAAATCCTAAAAGCAAAAAATGCATGAGCATGTTTGAGGCCTCAAGATACAACTGGCCAAATAATTACTTGCTCTGCAGGTACAAAAGTCATCACATTCGATAAAGTAACACTCTGCAGGATGGCCAAAGCTTGGCTTTAATACCTAAAATTCTTTCATGGATATTTTTTCCAAGGTTTGAAACAATCCAGCTTTGCAGAAGAGCTGCGCAGTTTGTCAGGAATTTAGGAACGTTCCCCTTCACCTTCCCGACAGTCGCCACATCTCACAAACACCCGACGTTCACAGCCGGCCCCGCAGCTGCAGCCTGCCGCGCTCGCTGAACACCAACCACGTACACGAACGTGGACACCAACAGCAGCGCCTACTTGCACGGGAGAAGAGCAGCTTTACAAGGCAGGCCTTGGGGAGCTGCCCATTTCACTTTGCCTCTACATTCCTTCACAATAAACACTTTTGCCTGGAGATGAAGGATTAACATATTGTGATAAGAGCTGCACTATTTAAAAAAAACAACAACAACAACAAAAATCCTTTTGTTCCAACAGAGGTCCTAATCTTCTCATTCCCTTGCTCAGTAGGAATAAATCTACGCCAGGAGACAGAAAACACAACCATATTTATCGAGCCTTTAACAGAGCTCTCACAGTACAATCCAGCGCATCAGGAGCAGAACTTACAATTTAATTTTGGTGTAGCGCAAGCTAAAGCCCAACAATAAACACCAGAATATCGAACTGCAAAAGCCTGAAACTGCAAAGAAATGTAAAATCCTCATCTCTCTAATGAGATACAGCTACCAGTTCATTACCAGACTAAAGCCACGGAGGAGAGAAGCGCTAAGAGCAGAATCTCTCACAGACAACAACAGAGCCATAGGTCAGGGCAGACRCACAAACAGAAGCTGCAGCTGCTTCATTTTTTGCTTGTTTTGCTTCATTTCAAATCCTTGGCAATGCGAGGTCTAACAAGAGAGCAAGTCTGTGCTCATTGCTTGTTCTGGGGCTCGCTGCAGCACAGGCTGTGAGGAGCTTGTCCCTCCCCACCTCGCTCCCCTCAGAAACCCTGCAGGAAAAACAGAGCCGCGGGGCCTGTCTCTGACCCACACACAGCAAACAGGCAGTAGGTTCTGAGCCGCTGCTATACTCAACACTGTTAAGCATCTTCAAATTTTAAATGCATTATTCGCAGCTTCAGAATTATACAAATCTCTCTAACATTCTTCTAACACAAGCCTGCATCACATATAGAAATTACTGGGGGTATCCAAGGACCTCTGACAAGCACACATGCTGCAAGCCTGAGGTTTAAAGGAAATTATGAACATGAGATGGGTGATTGGCTACCATTTCTAACAAAATCTGGCATCAGAAATAATTTCTGAAGATTTTTTACAAGAATGTGTGACACTGTACTAAACAATAAATGCAACAAAATATTTTATAAATTTCTTTCAGCCTCCAAGATTCAGTTGCATTTTTGTTTATCCTCATATTAATAATCAACTGGTTCACCGATCAAAATTAATGAGAGAGCTTGCGAGCTTATCCTAAATAAAAACTTTAATATAAATGCAATATATGCAAGAAACTCAGACCTTCTTAAACATATTATGAAGAAAACCCTTTCCAACTGAAAGAATAGCAAAAAATATCCCTACGAAATAGCTCTAACCTTTCCTTTATSTTCTCAACAGCTACCCACCTCTCTTAGACGGGATTTCAATATTCCCGTTGGCTACCAAGAATTTCAAAATGATCTTTGTCTTCAATTGAAAAAGTCTGTGAGGCCTAAGGCAGCAGTCACTAAAACTGCTTGAATCTGAACAATTTGCAGACCTAGTTCTATCCTAACGGAGCTTTCAGAGCAGCACTCAAGAGTGGTGTGTTTCCTACTCCTTAATTTCAAAAATATTGCAGTCTAACCTAGGMTCTCACTTTGCATCTTTCACACGTGGAGAGAAAAAGGATGATGATTCTTGATAAATACCCCTAGGTGATTACAGAGGTTGCATCTGATTTTGAGGGTAGGAGCACAGTGTTAYAGACTAGGGAGGGAGACTGAAATACAGACAAGCTCTGGATGAGAAGTGAAGTTTTCAGCAAGCTTCATCCCCAGCCGTTTCTCTGCTGCTGGAAATCTCTCTCCCATAAAACTCAAAAGCATTAGCAACAAATTTGGACAGCAAGGGAAAAGCTCCAGGAGAATTAAGGAGGATGCTTTTAAAAATGAAATAAATTTAATCTCTGTTCTTAGTTAAGATATGCTTTTGAGAGATACAGAAGAGAAAAGCATCAGAAGGCCCCAACCAAAGGTATGCAATAGGGAAAGAATTAGTTTGACATAGTCCTATGGGAAGAGATAAGGAAATACAAAATGTTTTGGATGAACTGCTATTAATCTTTGATGCATGACCTGCATTTCCAGTCATCTTTAGGTRAGTCAGTTAATACAAATACCCAGTTTCAGAGTACTCAGGCGARGGAAAGACAAGGTTGTGTTACTTCTATTAAAAATGTTCTTTTAATATTTAATAGGAGATATGGGTATTAGATATTAAATTTCATTACATTTGTCCAGGAAATCATTTGTATTTAAATTTAAAATGAATCTCTAATCTTTTTTTTCCTTTGCATAATAAAGCAATATAAAAATCAAACCCAGTATGGCACAATCAGAAAAYGGTAGGGAAGCTACAGATTTCAGTAGGACCTCAGGAAATTTTAAAGCTCAAATACCAAAAACAAACAGAGATGGTACCTGTGGACCATAACATATACAGCACCTGAAGCCKTTTGTCTGTGATGCTTTCAAGTTAGAAAGTCTCAATTAAACCCATAAGGAACTAGCTTATTGCTGTACRTTCATGAAAGTTTTATGTCTTAATGCAATAAAACAAGCTAGAGCAAAATCACTAAAAGAACTATTAATCTGAAAGATAATTAAACAAGTATGGTTCCTTTTTCTTAATAATTACATGTAATATTTAGAGAGAAGTCCACTTCCTATGAAAGTATAAACATAAGAAAACTATTGTTTCATTGTTAAGAAAGCTATTTGTAATATGTTCATTTATTATAATATATACAATAATCCTAAATTGAAAGAGCAAATTTTTAACTACAGAAGCATGAAAATCAAGTCTTTCCTTTCTTCCTTTTTAAGGGAAATATCAGACTTTTATTTTGAACTGCGGGAGAAATCAGAATTACACCACAGCAGAGAAAGCATTACAGCCTCAAGTCTTTTACTGCCATTATGATTCCATAAAATCTGGGCAGTACAAGCTTTACCTCAATCAGTTTTCTTTCATAAGAGCTGGCTAGCTCCTCGTTGTTTTCTACTTGCTTCTGCTCTGGAATAGTAAACTCCGCATCAGTGCTCCAAATATTTGGTAGAGCTAAAACAAAGAAATACATACAATTAAAATGTTGTATTACATAAACATTAAAAACAGCCCGTTTAAAAGTAATAGCTCTAAAAGAACTAGTTAATGTTTCAAAACAGGATGTAATATCATATTCTAATACGTACAAAGCAATTTTACAAGTATTAAAATACAAATACCATAGGGAGTTTTCTAACAAACAATATTTAGACTTTTTTCCCCTCGTTTTAAGGAAAACATACATATACACAAGCTAAAAGCATTTGGCTCCTTTGTGACTACAGTTCCCAAATACATACAAGCAGTGACTAGATTTGCTAGCCAAAGCCTTTGCAAAACTAAATCTATGCTTCTCTCGAGTCCTCTTTCTGTTTCTTTTTCAGAACAGTATTTCACTGTACTTGCATGTAAATTACAGAAAATAGGGCTGAGAATGCACACTGTAGACATCCCTYAACATTCCGCGTCTTTGCAGAATGGCGGAATCAACCGTATTTACTTCATCCTTGACAATTAATCATTCAACTTCTCCTTGGCAACTACCAGTAATGAAGATTTCCTGCTTTCCTGCACAAACTAAGTTTAAGTATTCTTGCCAGAAAGATTTTCCYAGTAGCTAATCAAACTTTCCTCACCTGCCACGAAAGCCTATTACTTTTTTCTTATCTACAGTAAATGAGAAACATTGTTTATTCTCTTCCTGCCCGATCTGATGGCTGCAAGGCCTCTTCAAAGTCTCTTCTTCCCCAGATTACGCAAACCCAAGCTCAACTCACAGACAGAAAATCTATCTATTTGTTCTAGAAAAACAAATTAGAAGATATAAAGTAAATAAGCCCTAATGAAAGAGCAGCTTAACAAATGAATTCATCGATTTTTAAAATCTCAATTCACATCCTATGGGATGCCGGCTTTTTTAAACAAGTAACTGGAGAAAGAGTATAGAGAAGTGCTCGAGCTGGAGACTGTGGTATCCACAGAACTGCATTTTGCAGAAATACAGAAAAATCACAACTCCAAGCTTCAATATTGGCCGTTATTGCAATATTAAGCTGGTCGTTTCTAAAGTTCAGAACTATTTTCCTGGAAGCTCAGCGTTTGCCCGCAGGAGGAGACGATCGTACACGTCACTGTGCCTGTGGTAACGGAGGCACGCACTCGCAGCCTGGGGGATTCCCTTGGGATCCTGCGGGGTTCCTGCYGTCCAGCAGGACCTCAAGCCCTCGGCAGGAGGTCCCGCACCAGCTCTTTGCTGCTCTCTTCAGCAGGCGCTTGCTTGGGCACCTTCCTGATCTAGATTTTTCAACAGCGCGTTCAGTTCTTAAGAGTAACAAGTATTTTCTTGTCGCATTTTCGATGCCAAAAAGGAAGAATTTGTTACCTTCAACACAGGGACAGAATTTCATCTGCACAAAACCAGAGACCATTTTAGTGGATCATCTAGTTGAAATCTAGCTGTTGTCAAGAAATTCAACAACTCACATATAAAGACCCATTATCTTAGAGAGACTTTCTGATTCTAAAACGCTCCCACTATTAACACAGCATAACAAAGACTTAGTAAAGGTCCCTTATGAAAATAAAACTCTGCTAGTTGAAACAGGTTTAGTCACATGGAAGAAACACAACAGATGGTATTGGAAACCTCRAGATTAGCTTTATTATTCCATTGGAGGGTGATTTCCAAGCAAGCTCTTCTTGTTTTCTCGCAAACACAATCCTGCTGCATGCTGCTGTGTGCCTAAAACTCCCAACTCATATTAGCGGCCAATTCACTCAGTGCCCYTTTGAACTTAAGACGATTACTACTGCTTTTAATTTAAAATTTTGCTTTATGAAGTTATCACTTGCTAAAGCAAGTTATCACTTCCTAATTATTTCTTGTTCCTCACATGAAACTTCAGAAAGAAAACAACTAGCAGCAAAAACATTTCCATTTTTCCAGACATCACTTATTTGTGCTAGCAGTTACTCATGTTTGTGGCAAAATCTTTACGTGCTGCTGTGCTTAACTGTTCAAATAATACAAAGAAAAAAAAAAAAAAGGCATTAAATCACCGAGAATGTCGTACTTCTGTGACCAAGGTATGTTCTCTCCTACAAAAGCACCATGCTCAGCTTCACCTGCGGGAGGTGGAACAGAGGTTTCTTCAGCTCCACAAGCATTTTAGGCACATTCCTGCTGCTGGCATTTTGGAAAGCCAATACAGATTAATTACAGTTCTAACAGGCAGATTTAGCAACCACATCTCAGCACAAAAAGGGGGGAAATAAATCAAATACTGTGTTCAAAGAGAGTATTCCTTTTAAATACACCAAGGCCACAGAAAAAGAGGATCATGCAAACATGATCCATATCCAATTTTATTTAACTTTATTAAATTTTATTTTGGCGTCTTTGTGACTGATTCTTCTATCCAAAAATGAACCCACAATGAAAACTCCTACACTAGCAATGTTAGAAAATGGACGACAGCATGCAAGGCCCTTAGAGAACACGTGGCATTAGTTTCATCTGTACTAACATTTTTGCATGTTCTGCTTACGAAAGACAGGACAGTCCCACCATTTTAACTACTTCTACCTTCTAAAGTTCCTGAAAAAAACGTAAATATGACAACTCTCTAGGTTGCAAAAGTCTGCCATCCTCAGAAACCACCTTTGATTTTTAACCTGATTTTTACATGAGTTTCAACAATGCTTTCTAAAAAGAGAGAAAAATAACATTCYCCAAGTGCATCTCTCATTACTTTAAGTTCTTTTAAATTGAACTACAATCCTTCTGTGAACATTTCCATGTTAATACACTACCCTTCTGTGAACATTTTTATCTCGATATAACTTTGTAAATTAATAATGAGTTATTAATAGTGTTTTTAATATTTGCTTACTACTAAAAATGAGTTATTTCTATGTTTACTCCAGTAGCTGCAATCAGACATTTAATGAGTTGAAAGACACCCTCAAGACAGATACCTATTAACACAGAATCAAAAGAAAAAGATAATTTTTAGTTAAAAAAAAAAGTGAGGCATTTATTTAATGCATTTCAAGAAAAAAATCTTGGGAAGTTTATTCAGAAGTCTATTTGGACAAACTAGCAAACAATTCCTTAGGTAAAAATGGTCTAGAATTACTGTGTCTGAGGAGCTTTGAAAAATGGCATACATCCAGCTCCTTCTAGTAGTTAAGGAATTAGGATGCCTATTTATTAAATATCTAAATATGAAAATCCAGCTCTTCAGTCTATGGCAGTAATCACTCATCTTGAAAGCTAGTATGTTAGGCTGGGCAATTCATTTATGATCACGTTTGCCAAGGGGATTTTTTTGTCTTTTTAAGTTACCTCAAGGCAAACTATTGCTCTGAGATTCATTTATAATTTTGGGAAACTAGTTAAAAGCTATAGTTAAAACTTTATAGTTTTTGGGAAACCAGTTAAAAGCACTTAATCCAATTTACTGTAGCGACCACACAGATTCTCTTCTAGTAACAGCAACACAAAGATACCCACGGAGGTTTAATTTTGAGCCTCTCAAAGCTTTCCAAAATCTGCAATTGATTTAACAAGACTTTTGTGTATACACCATTGGGAAGCAGATAAAGCAGCACTGAAATTACTCATGATGATAACATAGCGGAGCAAGGAGCATTGACCAATTTACAAGTGATGAATGCAGAGGAATGCATGGAACAGTTTCTTTTGGTGACCACCAATAGTTCGAATCCAGAAAATCCCAAATGTTTCGGGGAACCATTGACCCTAAACCCTGAACCTAAAACAAAAATGATAACCCAAATGCTGCAAATTTGAAATCACACCATAAGTTTCATCTATCCCAGAAGACGTTTTTCCGCCTGGATCCGATTTGCCAACTCTATGAATAAGTTGGGATTTTTGTTCCTTGTTGGGTTTTTTTTGTTTGTTTGTTTGTTTTTTACAGCATAACTGATTTCTAAAGAGACTGAGCTGATACAGACTCTTGTGGTGAGTAAACCATAACACATTTAAATCCCTGTATAGATTAAGGAATTTACTCTATTGAGATCTTGCCAGCTGTACTATGCAAGAACAGCGACAGTTGCCTTAGACCAGGACCCCCAGCCACAGGAGGCACAAGCAGCGACCTACAGCCTTGCGCCRTATTTGCCAATGGCCATTTTCAAGGAGGAAGCTTTCAAATTACAGCCTCATCCCGGGACTTGCCCTTAAGAGCAGGATTAGGCCGCCTATCAGACCACGACATAGACGATTCCAGAAAAAGACGGTGCTAATTTCTAAAACGCCACCTAGTCCCTCAAATTTCCTTGTGTTGTTGGTGAGGATAGAGACATTCCCAGCAGAGGATTCAAACGCAGGGCTCTGACCTCTCTTGCAAGGAGCACTTCTATCCTCATTTACTACAAATTTAGGATGCAGAGTTTGATCATTAGATTCCAAGCACTTCTGTAAAGTGAAGTGTTTGGTCTTAGTATAAAGCGTATTTCATGCAGAGTCTCCAGATATCTACCTCCAAAACAGCACTAATAGTATACACCAAATATGCTAAGTTTCCTCTCCTCAAAATAATTACTCTTACGATCCAGTATCATCTTCACTTGCAGATCATTTTTAAATGCATTTTTAAATGGTAGCTTCTTCATGGAAAATGCATTATTGGAAACAATTAATACCTTCCTAAAACTCACTGATTAGAAAATAAAAAAATTAAAATATACAGTTAAAAAGAAAAATCAATTCGGAAACAATACAGATTCCTATTAGTCCAATCAGAGATTTGGCTATTTGCTAATTACTCTTTTACTGTAATATTTTATACAACTCTCAGAGTCACTTCCATCATTTGGCTAAACTCTGTCTCAGCGGTAGCTTATAGAAAAAGAGCTGCGCATGGATTTCTTTTTTTCTTCCATTTCATCCTTACCTTCCACTGTTTGACCTTCTCTTCTAAGCATCTGGACAGCTCCTACATACTTCTTAAGCTGCACTTTAAGTACCTCATTTTCTCTGTTGATAAGAAGAACAGTATGAGGAAAAATTAGTCTTTTCTCAAAATAAGGGAAGAAAGCCCATCTCAGTGGAAACAAAAACACTATCTGTGATGATGAGCTCTACCTAGGTTAGGTCTTCTAAAGGAAAAAAATCACTACTTACACATTAAATTAAATGTTAAAAGACGGCTAAAAGGAAAACCAATTTTTAGGGTCACATAAACATCCAGGACAACAGATACTGTAAAGCTTCAAATTATGGGATTAATTTAGGTTTTATAGAGTATTGTTGAAAGAAAGTAAGTCTAAAACGGAAGTCGATTAAAAAGTAATGATAAAATATTAAACAAAGAAATTAGCTGGCAAGTTTAAGATTCAGTAATTATTTTCCTAGCTGTAGAAGTATTTAATGCCAAGCAAAGGAAAATCCAGCTCTGGAAACTGACTTTATCATTGCCAGGGAATGTCAGCTTCATTTGACAACACYGAAGGCAACAGCTTTCCACAGCCAATCCAAATGAAAACAGCATCCAAACCTGCCACTATCACAGCTCCAGCCAGCAGCACTGAGCACCTCAGTTCATACTTGAGGGGAAAAAAAGGACTGTAACAGCTTGAGTTTTAAATCAAACAAAGGCTGTGGGTATCTCGCAATAGTTCCAACAGTAGCTCTTTACTTTGAGAGGTTCCAGTAACTTACTGAAAAGCTGATGCAGCAGGGGTCAACTTTTTAGAGAGTAAGCCCATATTCTGTAGCACCTAAGCTTGTCTAAGACTTAGTTAAACTGCATAGCTAGCTTTTGGCTTTTAATTGAAGATATAKCAAAATATTTCAAGATTATGTGTGTATTCCCTATCAGCCATTAACAATATTTTTSCTTAAAGACAGAGAAAAGCATAAAACTCTACTTATCCTCATGAATAAGTACACAATAACAGAGAAGAACATAAGCATTAAAACCCAGATAGTGATACATGCATAATAACTATCAATTTTATAAAATTCACAAGATACAAGTCCCATCCACTAATACTCATTATATAATTCTTCTACATCAGATGTATTTGAAAATTCTCCTGAAACCAGTATATGTCTAAACAAATTATAGGAAATACCTTAAAGATCCCACTAAATTTATGTACTGAAACCAAGGTCAGAAAAAAAGAAAAAACACCCAATAAACTTGGTTAAGAGGATATATATGTTAGCACAGCAAAAGACTTGTTTGTGCAGCAGTTCCTGTCTGGCATCACTGGGGTAAGATACCCCTGTTTCTAGAACTATGAAGCAAAACAGTGCTACTAGAAGGTCTAATTTTCAGTAGCAACAGTCGCTTCCATTAGCCAAAGGAAAAAAAAAAAAAAAAACCATGCCTATACAAAAATAGTTTTATCGAAAAGAAGTTTTCTTAAACCCCTCAAGAGCTGTACAGCACCAGGGAGCACCTTGGCAACAAAGGATTTGTTCATGAATCACCTTTTCTGGGAGACTAACTTGAACAAAGAGGAATGAGCCAGCAAAGCCCAAACTACCCTATGAACATGGTTGTAACAGTATAGAAAAGTCAATATTTTGAGAAGTGCATACTTGACTTTTGTGTACATAAGGACTGTAAGGAGAGCAGGTATGGTTAGTGATCCAATGCATTTGCTCACCGACGTGTTGACTTGCGCTAGGAAAAATAGCAACTGCTCCCTAGGGTTTCCCTCCTATTAACAGGATTAATGCAAGAGGCTGCCAGCATCTCGTCCTTGCGGCTGCTGCCTGCCTGGAAAGGAAGAGGCCCCCAAGCCCGCCCCAAGGAGCGGAAGGGTCGATGAATTCTCAGTCAGGACCCCTAGACTTCTGTAATGAGGAGTTACACGGAGTTGCGTGTGCCCGTGCGCGCACACGTACCCGTGCTAATCCACACCACGCTCACACGCATGAGCCATAAGCACGGTGTGGCTAAGTTTCATTTTCCTATATCTCAACAGGAAAAGAAAACAACTGTTTCYTGCAAAAGAAAAGAAAATTGCTTCAGGGTTTCTGTTAAATGTACATCCCAAGGAAAGAAATTGGCAGAGAAAGAGTGATTTTTCATGCATCTCAACTATACTAGCCTGAAGAACAAAATAATTAAATATCTGGCACGAGCATCTCATGTTAACAAGCATTTTGTGTATTGTGAAAACACACATCTGTCTTCTAAACAAATCCAACAGATGATACTCTCTTCTTAAAGCCTCATTTTTTTTAAACTCTATACAGGTACCAGGTCTCTAAATAAGCATATTGCATGAATCGTGAGGATGAAATGAAAGAATTTCCTGCAGRAGGATCCAGTCTACACGCAGCTGTCAGACCTCCTGAGATCCCTTTCAATTGGGCTTATCCTACGAGTAGGATTACAAATAACAGCTATGAGAAAACAGCTAAGACTGTGTGCAAATCTTTAACGAAACTTGAAGCATAATTAGTATTACARTTAGCAGTGCAAGTTGAACTACATGCAGTTAAAAAGAAACAAACAAAAATCCACTCTGTAAAGATGCAAAATGTGATAAACCGCTTGCCATGAAAGCCAAATATCATATGCATAATAAAGTGAAACCCTGTTTTCACAGCAGATCCATAACATCGACTATGTGCAGGTCTGTGATAGCATCTGAGGAAGAAAAAAACTGAGAAAAGAACTTCTTCCCTTCTGTTTTCTTGTTCTTCTCGAACATATTTAGTAGCGGTATCACATCTGAAAAGCAAAACGCATCTCTATAGTTAAGATCAACTTCGTTTTTCTTATGAAATAAAACATTGCACCTTTTTTAAACTGATCTCATCACTTAAGGGGTCATCAACTAAACAGACAGAAAAAAAATTGTCACTGAACAAAGAAATACTAATACTATTTCTTAAGAAACAGGGCAACATACTGTTTTCTTCCATTTCCCCTGTAAGAAGTTGCTTAAATGATGCAGCCATTTCAAGATGTAGAACATGAATTTCTCCATTTATTGTGTAATTTAATACACTTCGGTAATTTAATACACTTGCATCCTCTAACCAAGTGTATGTGTTACTTAAGCCACATCATTTTTGGATTTGATATTAATCTGTTATCCAACACTGTTTATTCAGTAGGTAGCTGCATGGAACTCCAGTCATGTGCAATAACACAGGGGATATGTAAAAAGCAGGGGGCTGAGTTGTCCTCTTATTTTAAATGTAGATTATAATACATTGATTTTTTATTTTGCATGTACTTATTCTGGATGCACATGTTTTCATTTATTTTTTCAAGGAATAGCTATTTCTTTTTATACTTAARGTACTGCAAAATAAATTCTTCAGTTGTATTTCAAGTAACTGTTCAATACCTGAAAAATTCATAATTTTGATGCAATTTTAAAAATTGCAAACTTTTTTTTTATAATCTTAATAAAACAGCATATCCTTTTAGCTTTTCAATTCACCAAATGAACAATATTTCAAAATACCAACAAATCTAAAGAAGGAAAGAAAATAAACACTGCAAAATTCATACTTGAGTTAGAGTAACTTCTGATCTAGAATAAGCAATTCACACGATATTCTTCTCACCTCTACTACAAAAAAAATATATATTTATGACAAATATTCCACAACAGCCTTTAAAAATGGGGTATGCTAAACTGTAAATATTAGGCAATCTCAAATCAAACTACTAAGGTCAAACAATTAAACATTTTTTCTTGCCCTAAAATGCTGAGAATATGGTAATTTGTAAAGTTTTTCTATTCTTGATGTGTTGAGTCATTTTCAAGATCCTCAGTAAGAATTTCACTATTTCAAAATATCTCAAATTTAGCTTCCTTTTACTGACATGTTGCTTTTTGTTATTTCAGTTGACTTCTTCAGTAACAAAACTATTCATTTTTCCAAATTCCAGGTTTAAAATACTTCTAGGTAAATTTCTTGACTAATCTCAATATTGCAGTAGCATCATCAGTAATTTACAAGTGAATCAATTAAAAGGTTTTAATAGAAAGACTCTGAATCCTGAAATAACTGCCTGCTAAGTCCCTTGTGTGCTAGAAAAAAGGTTGCAATGAACCCTCAATGCATCCAAACTCCAAAATAAGTGGTGCTGCGGGAATTCATGGCATGTAAGCATCCACTGCTTTTATCAGGTGACAGGTTAAACTACTTGTCAGAAAAACATTCAACACAACATACCTGAAATTACCTCAACAAACCTGAATATAACAGAAATTAAAGAAATCCATTAACAACAATAAAACATTGTATGTTAGTTTAAGTGACTCTGTCTTTAGACCATGCAATAGAAACTCCAACTATTCTTTTAAAGAGTGAGTGACAAATATCTGATTCACCCATATCAATGCAAATTCTAAAATTGTGGGGGGAAGTGAGTCAAAAGAAGTATGAATATTCAGATCTTGCTACCTAAAAAGTGAATATTAAACAATAAAATGTTTGCATTGCCCCCACTGCTGTATCTCTTCTGAATGTCAAACCCACTTACGCATCTCCCTCCCTCAACGTGAGTTGCTAGGTTTGACGTGTCATCAAAAGTAGAGTTAGYAGCATCCCTAATACATACTTTTAAAAAGAAACTTCCGTATTTGTTGGTTTTTGAGCCTAATTCTGCCATACAGAGCTTAAAAGGATCTCAGTGGTGGTAGTTCACCACGAGGAACCCTACACRCTGTGCCTGGGTATGCACACAACAAACTCAACTCTCAGGGATAAGATAAACATATTACTCATCACTAGCCTTATTTAACACTTGGAATAGTTTGTTCTTTACTATGTATGTGAATCATCTCCAAAATGTTAGGCATCATTGGCTACACTACAGTTTAGAGTTAATTTAGTGTTGGAAGCAGAAAAAAAATCAGGCCATTACTGCAGCATCTAGCTAAATTATTCTTTTGCATCTAATTTTAAAGGAATTTAGCTTGAAAGGGGTTTTAAGTTCTTTTTTTTCAGCATATCTGCTGAATTGCATTACATATCAGGTTTGAAATCCAAATAAGAAAAGCAACTTTGGGAATTAAATTTATGTGACATAACCAAGGTCTACCAAGCAGAAAGGGAAAATACTTGGGGGAAAAACAGACAGTCTAAAATTAAATCCCCAAGTTAGTGGCAGGCTCACAGAAACAATTTAGGAAGGCTGGTCAAGATTCAGATTTTGCCTCAGGTCCGTCTTGGTAAAGAAGCAATTTATAGCAGATTCGAATGCTGGCAAAATAACATTTTCTAGCACACTTGTGTTACTGATGTTTCGTGAAGAGTATGGGAAAGGATGGAGGAAGCTCAAGAAGTCACTTTTTATTCTAAAAGAAATATGTGGCAGCACAAGGGATCTCTTTCTTTTGGGGCTGAAAAATACATGCACTGTATGCTTTTTTCCTGCAATCAAAGTTGATTTGAATGGCTTTAAATCACATTTTCTTCTCTGAAATCAATACAAATAGTGATAGTAAAACATCATTCAGTGCTTCCCAATACCTGATGGTGGTATTGGGATTTGTTCCAGATTGAGGAGACTTGTCCTAAGAATCTCTTGTATAGCAACGGAAGAGAGAGAGAAAAAAAAAAGAGAGAAAAAAAAAACGGTAAAAGTTAAAACTGAATAAAAATGGAGCTACATGAAGAGGGAAAAGTCCTTCTGAACTTTATCTCACTCACATGCTTCATTTCTCGTCTCATTAGTTATTTGCTGCAATTTTTGTTGTTTGCATTGCTAAGTCTTYCAATTACTTTTTACAAATTAACCTTCATGTGGTCATAACTTACGCTGACTAATAAATGCTTTCCTCTGGAGCTGTGATTTTTCTAACATTTTAACTCTCAATTATCGCTAACACTTAAACAAAAAATACAAAGCCACTATATTTGTCAGTCATTTAAATATCTTCCAGAAATTAAGACAAAATCCAAGCCAAAGTTCATGAAATTTTAAATCCTAAATCACTGACGACTCCTGAAAACTACTTGAAGATTATTTTTTGCCCTGTATACAGAAGGGTTTTTCTTCCCCTCTTGCTCTGCTGTTATTTGTTATGACTGTTTCTGGGCCTCTTACCTGGCCAAAGCTTGGACTTTGGTGGCGTGTCGCTCCTCCTGCTCCGCCACTTTCCTTCTCCAAGTMTCCATTTCCTGCCGAAGCGCTGCCGAATGCTCCATCTCTCCATCCAGCAAGTTCCTCAGCGACCTGGAAATGGCAGCAGTGTCTGCTAAGCCACTGCAAACCCTACCCAGGGATCAGAGGGTACTCTACAAACCCCAAATTTTATTACAATCTCATCGACATGCCCAAAACACAACCAGTTATGTTATCTGCAGCATCCAATATGGAACAAGAAATCACTACTATGAAAAGCAGCTTATAATCTGGTTTCACTGCTTCAGGTCAAATGACAGAATCATTCTTACATTTCAAGAACAGTCTATAAGCAGTGTGTTTATGAGTTGGAGCAGGAGACGAGTTTTCAGTAGAGACTGTCAGTTTTCAATAGAGACTGTCTCTTTTACAAGCAAGGTCATAGATCTCTGGTCAGTTAGCAAATGTTACCATGATACGTAGCTTTAACAGCCCAAGCAACCCGTTCCTTCTGCCAAATAAACAAAAAATAAAACCTGAATTGGGCTGTAACTGTCAATTGTGGGAGCTGGGAGGTAAGAGGCAGGAAAAGAGCATCAGTTGCTATGATCAAAATTCAAAAAAAAAATTGAAACTGAAAATCTCCATGAAAAATCACAAAATGTTAAAAAAAACTCTTAGTAGAAGCTCAGTATGTGTCTTGAGAAGATCCATGTTTTCATTCTTCTAATTGTGTGCTCCAAATATATTAAATAAATATGAAGTAGGTTTGTGAGCAATCTAAATAAAGGACTGCATGCACCACTKCATTCCCCCAAACAAACATACAAACATTCACAAATGACAGCCCCTTTTGGTGTAACGTTAGCTGATTTTTAGTGCGGCTACACCATTTCTACACCAGAAGAGTAAAATCACAGAATGATTTCTGAACATTTGCAAAAACCGAACTTGCATTCATTCAAAAACATGTCTTAAGATTCTTTTGAGTATAAGTTTTGCTTTAAAAATAAAACAACAATGTCTGGCAGAAGATCTCAAGGACAAACAGTTGTGTGATTTAAACACAGAGGGAAAAGCAGCCTGCAAACATCACTCTTCAGTATCTACAGTTGAATACTGAGGTAGCAAGCTTACCCTTCTCAGAAAAATAATATGGACACGAAAAAGATGACTATCAGAGCTCTTCACATAGAGGAGCTTGTATCAGAGGGGCTGTACGACACAACAGACCTGTGACGTTATACAGTGCCTCTGAACGACACCAGCCGCAACAAGAAGTTACCTGTTCTGTTCTTCCAATTCATCCTTCCTATTCATCATGGCCACGATAGCCTGTCGAAGYTCACCTAAAGAGAAAAGACATTTTTTTTTCCATGAGCATTTTTGCTCGTTTCAGATCTAACAGTCACGTACCCAGTGACACCAGTTCAGCAGCACACCTGACATGATGCAAGCATCACTTGCTATTCAGCAAAGCACCTAAAAACACTTGCATGTCACTAATTTAAGCAATGTTTCAATAGCAGTATTTATCACATGGTACAACAATGGTATCAGTAGGACTCATTAAATTAAATTAKTTGCATCTGGTTTTAATATAGATACTGACAAGTTCTCTTGTCACTGCAGCTGCTTGTCTTTTTTTTCTTTTTTTTTTTCCCCTCTTCCTTTTTGTTAGTTTGTTTTAATCACAGTCCCATGGACCATTCTAGGATACAAAGCATCTTTCCAGCATAAGGATAACAACAAAATATACTAACTCGTGTACTTCCTTCAACTTGCTCATCCTCCTATTTATAAATACTGACACAAGAAATTCAACTAGCGCGGTGGGACCAGAGCATAGATGATTGCAGTGCCTTTTCATGGCATTTCTTTTCTTGTTTAGTCTAACRTCTCAAAGATAGAGATTTCTGCTCCTTAACTAAAAAGAGAACGCTCTGAAGGCAATAAAAAGACAAACATAACTCAAGAAATTAATCATTTAGGCAGACTTTAGGATATAAGGTGCATTGTTACTAAGAAATACTAAACTAGAGGCAATTTATTTCTTCAGCACTCCAATAAACATGCTGATTTTAGAAACCATTCATACAACTCTAGATGATCTCTAGAGGTCACTTCCAACCTCAACCATTCTGTGATTCTGTGCAACTAACTCTAGCTACATTGTGCATCACACACACAAAAAAAATATTAAAAGTGTATATAAAACAGCTTTCATATTACATATAAGTGCATAAATATCCAGATGTAATTACAACATTATATTTGCAATGAAAAATATTCAACTACCAACTTCTGACTGAGAAGTTGATAAATATTTTTTTTCTCTGTTCTCCAACACTGAAGTGCTTCTACAACTCATTTTCAAGACTGGCTTAAATAATGCTGGTTTTTTTTTTCCCCAGAAAAATAACCCAGTTCAGAAAGTGAAACTGTCTGCTGGGAACAGAATGTTAGATGATTTCACAGAAAAAGAATGCAACAAATTACTCGATTCTTGAAAAAACAGAGCAAGTCTGGAGAAGATTAGAAGAAAAACACACACACACACACACACACTAGAGGCTATAGCTCAATCCTACATTCCTTGAACAGAAGGACTGAGGACCACAGCAAAACAGTGAATAGAGATAGATCTAAACACAGTAATAACTGAAATTGCTACCTTTTATAATCACACTTTAGGGAAAAAGATATAACGAAGCATCTAAATTAGAGGTCTTTTGCCTGACATAGTAACAAATAAATGTGTTATTTCCTTTATGAAGATATTTGTAGGATCTGACCTTTTTTCATTCTTGGAATGACAAAAGAATCATGAGAAAGTTTTAACGATCTTGGAAGAAAATAGACCTTCCGTTGCACAAATCTTCCACAAATCTTCCATCAAACATCAGGATGTGTTCTAAACAGGACTGGCTCTGAAATCTTTAATAATAATTTCACCTAAACTTCATCGATAATTTTATGAGASCAGGGACAGTTATATTGAAACATCCCTCCCAAAAGTCAAATGAAATGATGCTATGCTTGCAAATATAATAAAACTGCCAACTCTTTTCTGACAGTATTCAAAGAAGATGTCAGCAAATGTTTCCATGCTTTTACTCAAGCTAAACTAACAGAACTGGTTTCATCTAATTTATTCAAGCAAAGCTGCTGAACAACTTTGTTCTCTCTACGTTCAGTTCACTAGTTAAATCGTATCTTTATTTACCTTCTCTACAGTTATAGGTGATTTTGCCGTTTTAAAAAGATGAGGTTTATACCAAGGAGTAGATGATATCGGCCCACCTCCAACAGGACAAAATGAAGCAGTCCAAGGTACCCATCCATTCGGACACCTCAGTTGAAGTCAGAAATTGTCAACCTGATCCYGTCCCTCTTGCTCTGAAGGGGTCTCATGTCAGTCCTATTTGCTTTTGGTATGGAGCTTTTTTCAAACTATTTGTGATTCCTTGGTCATGCACAAAGTAGACTCTTATTTTTCTAGCCATTCCATATTACAGCTTGAGAACGAGGAGACATTGGCAAGAAATGCTTCAGTAGGTTATTAAAGGGATTTTGCACTCCATTAATTCAACACAGAAGGGGTGATTTTCCTTGTACAGTAACTRAGCATCTTTATAAGGGTTGTCCATAAAGCCACCCAAATGAAAGAGGCTAAAATCTTGCAGGAAAGCCTAAAGGGAAGTGTGGGACTACTAAATACTGATGTTAAAATACCACCAAGTTTGCTGGATGCTCCTGCTTTCTCCTACCATGGTATTATTCACATTCTTAACCAAAGCTGTGCCTATGTGACTACTTTAATCTGTCTTCCTAAGGTTCTCCACAAAGGGTTGCTCTGAGGCAAAAATAGGCAGAATCATCTTTGGGGCAAGAACAGAGTGAAAAATGCATTATGATCAGGTAAATCATAGCCATTTAAGTAGCAACTGTAGAAAAAAAAATCATATGACAAAATATGGCTGTTTTTCAAAAGCTAGCTCCTAATAGCTTTGACTTACTGGTAGTTACGTGGGGGCGAAGGGGGAGGAGGGAAACACACTATGCATCCTGAGGTTTAAGCATTATATTCTCAGTCTCGGCAATTACAAAATTCAAACACACCACTATTTGTCTTTTCCTCATGGTGAGACACTGCCACTTCGTGGGGACCATTTGGAAAGGAGCCCCAGCTGGAAAGSTGGTGGCTTTTAACAGACCTCAACCAAATTACACTTTTGTATAAACAGGCAAAAACCATTCTTAATAAGCTTCCAGTAAAGTAACATCTGAAAATTAAAGATCTTTAACTTTCAGCCCAGAAGACTGAAGGGGAGTCTTATCAGTGTGTTAAATTATCCGAAGAGAGGGTTTAAATAGGATGGGGTCACGCACTTCAGTGGCGCTCAGCAACTGGCACTGCCTGGAGCACAGGAAGGTCCRCGGGAGCCCCAGGAGAGACGGGGGCCCCAGGAGAGACCTTCCTGGGAAGGTGTGGGAGCTGCAGGAAGTGCTGGAGCCCTCATCCTCGGATAACTCTGCACAGCGCTGGCCTCCTGATCCCTGAGGGCCCCTTCCCTCCTCGGCTGACCTGTCATTCGAGGAACCACATCAGGAATCCAGGATCTCCTCAGGAGAGCACAGGACCCACAGCGCTTGGAATATTTCAGGAGAGCCATTATGAGCTGGTCACGCTGCCCCAGGGGCAAATCGCTCTCCTTTCTCCCTCTCCGAGCAACTTAAAGCTCCGCTCCTCGAGCTCCTGGGCTGGCTGCTCCACAGCAGCCGGCTGTACACACACCGAGGCTGCTGAAACATGCCCTCACTTACTACCATTTAATTGACTGTTAAGCTATTATAAATTGTCTCCAGTTTTGCAATTGTACCAGCCTATTCAAACTGTAACCTTAACTTGCCTAATAACTTAATCTTCTTTCCCTTATTCCACCAAGAATCTTCTGCATGAATAGACAGTTGAAATCCCATCTTCTGTCACTCCCTTCTCCAGCACACACGTAAGCAGGGCACGAAACCGAGTTTCTGTCACAGATCGTGGATTGCACAAAAAGAGAAGAAAAGAAGTCTTTTGGAATAAAAGACACAAAAAGCTTTTTATTTACATTTGTCTCATTTCTTTTGGAAGCCATGGACTGGGCAGTACTGTAGATAGACAGCAATACTTTAATTTGCAATACTTGCAAATGTCATTATCATACAAATAGGAACAAAATTCTATGCTTAATTTGGGATCACAAAAGCAAACACACTCATATATAGTATTTTTTACAAAAAGGCTAGCAATTTAGTTAAGCTGCTGAGAGGGAAGCTGCAGAAGGAATGATCAGCAGAGACAATGAACATGGGGCCAAGAAGCAAGGCCTCCAAGAAGCCTGGASAGCCTGTGCCTGCTCCACTGCCAACATTGATTCATCCCAATATTATGCACAGCAGTACTGAGTTCCTGCTATACATACCTCATTTTGCCTAAAGTTACAAACATTAAGGGACAGTACTCTCCCTCAAAGAGAAAAATTATACTGCTTATCAACACTTCTTTAATATCTCCATCCACAGGAACTATAAGTCAAACACTTATTTGTCGTAACTAAAATAAAACTACTATACGAAGAAAAAAAAAGTTAGATATAGACTCCTGTTACTAAGCAGCATCTAAAATCTAAGCAATAATCAGAGCTTCATGAAGCATAATTTTTTTTTTTTTTCAGATTAAATCTCATTTTTTTAAAATTGACTTCCACCATTGAAATTAATCTGGACTGTCTAACAGCTAATACAGCTAATTACTTGCGTCTAAAGCAGAAGCCCGACCTTCAGGGAAATGCCTCCAAAGCCACCTGAACAAACCCTGGCTTTAGTGCTTTGATACTGTGTAAACACTACCCTGTCACATCACTGTTCAAAGGTTTCAGCAGAGAACAATAAGCTCTCAAACTTCTACATTAGAGCAGAGCACACAAAATGAACCGGAGATTTTCTCTCAGTGTCAAAATTAATACGTCCCCTTCCCTCGGCTGGACCCGCAGAGCAGTCACAAGGACTGAGCATCTCTCAGGCCTCTCCCCTTCTGAACAGGGGCAACCAAGCAGCTAATTAGAGATATGCAAGGGCTGCTTCCTCACACGGGCAGGATRAAAACACAGTTCTGTATCTTTGTTATTGACTATTGCCTTGCAATGGTCATGGAAAATCATAGGCTTTCCTGAAAATGCCTGAAAAGGACTATGAAATGAATAACGTGCACTGCTACAACCTTTGCTACCCTTTGTGATTATGTCCAAMTTAAGGAACTATGGAAGGCTACACTGGAAACAGCATTTTTATGCCTGCATGTCGAAAGGACTGAGCAAGAGCTAGTGYTGCAGTATCAAAATGAAAAGGAAGCAGGAAAAGAGCAGGTTCCAAAAAATTCATTTCCGAAGTGCAAAGCAGAGAAATCCACAACCACTGGAGACCTCACTGCTTCCATCACAGCACCACTCCGTTCCATTTTTCTTGCCTGATGTTTTAAAATTAGTTGCTATGCAACCAAGCTATAAGCCTCACCATTTAATAACTCTGCCACTAATTGCAACAGAGAGAAGGAGCTTCAGTGCGTGGCTTCATCCCAGTACCAAATTCTCCCCGTTCAGAGGGCCTACGACCATCAACAAWCCCCCTGAAATGTTTTTATTGAGTGTTCCTGCCAATGTCATTTATAAAAGTATTAACCTATAAAGCATAACCAAGCAACCTGGATTACAAGGACAGTTCAAATATTTGCTAATAGCTCTACTGGCATCACAGCTTTTTTTTGACTTGCTTCACCCCCTCTACCCTGCCCATCAAGAGCACCTCGAATAGAACAGGAAACTGATGCSAGGGTGAGAGGTTCTGTTGATCCTGGGCTTTGTTTCATCCGGAAATCGCTCAGCATCAGGCACTGACCATCAAGATTTACTTGGTCTTTTACAGCTGCCTTAGCTCTACCCAGGCACTATCAGAACAGCTGAAAAAGACCAACTGCGGCCCCTGCTGGCACCCAAGAGCCTTGGGAAACRAGGGCTGCCACAGGAGTTCAGGGACAACAAATTCGGGGAGTTTCCTATTAAAATCCTATTACTGAAAAGTTAAAATTTACATATAACTGTAGGATATTACAGCAATAACACAAACAGAGAATACACAGTGACCAGCAGTAGCTGCACCAACACCTTTAACTGTTTTCTCTTATGTTCAAATGTCTCAAGCTGGTTTTCTACTTTGCAAAACACTTTTCAAGGCTCATGCAAYAGATCAATACCAGAGATGAAACAGAATCCAATGAAAATACTTAGCACTTTCTGCCTCCCTTAACATAAGTAACTAGGGATGTATTTTGATGATACATGACAGTGTAATAATAAGACTGCAAGTCAGATGGTGTCTCAACTTCGCCAAAGAACCATGAGATTAAAATACCTTATTGGTCATTCATTTAGATCATTTCATAAATCCACTTCACAAAGGAAGCTTGGCTGTATTATTTCTCGCTTCCAGTGTTACCATTTAGGAATTAACAGAGACACATAGAGCCCCTCCACACAGTCCCACCACCACCCTGGAGCCATTGGACTCGAGCCACATCCACCAGCTCAGTTACAAAACTCCATGCAGAGGCAGACAATTAAAAGCACACTGCCTTATCTACTTAATAGCTAGTCCAGTTAGGAATAAATTCTTCATCCAGCAAATTCACGTGACGATGAAGGAAGGACTGAGATAGGTGTACTGCCCATAACTCTACTAATCTCAACCCCACTCCAAACGCTCTTTTATCCCTTCCAAGTCCATCCTTCACACAGCTGAACATAGGACTGCTGTTGACGACAGCCTGTGTTTATCCTTGGAAGACTTTTCCCTCTATCAAAAACTCAGACTGAGCATACATAGCACAACATACATCGTTTTGCATAGTCTTTTTGGTGGGTTTTGGGTTTTTTTTTTTTTCCTCCTTCCTAGGCATTACAAAAACCTTTTAGAGTAGTCATTTCCAATTGCAGCCAACACTGACACGAAGAAATGAAGTGCTGTGTGCTTGCTGGAATAGTTAATTTCTATTTAATATCTATTTTTATAGTGGTAAAAAAAGCTATAGGACATGAAAAGTTATTTCTGAAAATAGGCTAAATATGTCAGGAAAATACTTACTAATTGTCATTGATTCGGGCACAGTGGCAGAAGGCAACATACTGCTTAAATTGTTCACTTGAGCAGGAGGACTCACTTCCATTCTAGTTAAAGGGGGAAAAATATCATCAGTAAGCAAAAAAAAAAAAATCCTAAATCTAAAACTTTAAGAATTGCAGAAACTAGAACAGAAGTGTCATTGTGTATTCAAATATGTAGTTATACACAGAAAACAACCCATATTCAACCAACTTAAATTTAATTATCCTTTAATGTATTTGTTGTGTGTCTGATCTAAGGATATACATAAAAAGATTCATATCAAAAAGCCATGAGGGAGTATGATAAAAAAAACAACATGAAATCTATTTTCAAAACCTAGAGGCTATGTCTGCATATTAGTTGACATGACTGCTTGACTAAATTAAGTTCAATATATGAGAAAATTATATAAAAAGGAAAATGCAGGCTTATAAGAGGAGCCTGATTCATGGCTTGTTTTCCCCTGCTAGGTGCACAAGTTGTGTTTGTGATAAGTAATAACAGGCTGGTAGTTAAAGGGTTTTTTGCACCCCACCCCACCTCCCTTTTAAGAAAATGTATTTGACACGTACCTGTAAGGAAGATCAGGTCTTCTTTGAACCAGTTCTACTGCAAGAACACTTTCATGGCCCTCTCCATCCTCCAAGTTATCTAAAGTAAAACGTACAGCATAAACTTTCTTCAGTTAACAGTATTTTAAAAGAAAAAAAAACAAGAGAAAAGCAGAAACAGGGTAGTTATTTACAACTGTCATATTTACTGTCCCTATCAAATCCAAGTTTTCTCTCCAAAACTGAGTTTACATATTGACGTATTGAGACCAACAATTTATCTACTGATATTTTACAATCAAAACAACTTTGTATAACTATGAGGAGACCTCCTATTGAGGTTCTTTTTGCAAGTCCCAGCAGTTTAATAAAAACATGACATTTCTAACTCATGACAAATCTATTTGCCCCTTGAAGGGAGAGAACCTGTAGTTAGACCCCAGGTGAATCCTTACAAAGGTACTAGTCAGTCCCCTGTGCATTCCCAGGGGAGTAGGATGGTTCCTTATCTCTGTGTGCCAAATATCTCATATTTTATCTGTTTCTTTATAAGTTACAACAAAAGCATGGATAATATACATCCATATACAGGTCCACAGGAGCAAAACATACACATCACAGGGCCTGTCATGCTAATAGCACAGTAGAAAGGAAACAATAGAAATGCGTGTAACCGTATCAAGAAAAATCAAACCACCCCCACATACACACATTTAAACACATTTTGCTGATGTTTTCGGCATGCCTTTATGCAAGACCTGAAGTTACTATAAAACAATCCTAAAAGCATGTGCTGAAATAGCACAGAATTTAAAAAGCAGGAGATGTAGAAGAAAGAGTTGAGGGGAGTGGGAGTGTGGCAGGCGCGGGCGCGAGGGCCGGTGCTTGGCAGGCGGCGGGGCCCAGGCCGGCCGGCTCCCAGCGGCACCGCGCGCGCCTCTCCGGGCAGCTGAGCGCTCACTCCAGCTTTCCCACCTCCAGGTACACGGAGACGTGATGCGCCACGACACGACCCAGAAGCTCTGCCACAGACTACAGCTGAAAATGTTCATATTGCCATACAACACTGCATACAGAGCCATCTATTTCAAATGTATATGTCTTGTCATTTAGCTGAATAAACCAAAGCAAAAGGTTAAATTAAATACTTTATAAGAACATACAAAATATGTTTTAGCATCAAGAGTGTCATAATAATGTTTAACTTCTCAGTTATTGGGCTGAATTGCCCTCAGAAAAAGCTAATCCACATTCCCTCTTCTATCACTCATCTAGCGCAGGCTGTCTCCCCAAGTCAGGCCCACAGCTGCTTTAGGCAGCTTTCAGCCTCGTTAAGTTGTTGTCGGGCCTAAGGAGAGGACAGTCGTATCTGTGGGCACTGCTGTCCCTACAGGTTGCCGCTGCCATTTGAGGGGCACGATGGTTACAGAGAAAACCACCCGCACCCCGATCTCCATGGGGCCAGGCCTGTAGAGAAGGCTCAGGGCCAGCATGGAAAGGCAAAACCAGAAGCGAGATGGTGGAAGCGCCGCTGTTGCTTGTGAGCATGGGGTAGGAGGGCTCCCTTGGGCAGCACAGCAGTGCCAGGGTCGCCCCGGAGCGGGAGGGCCGCGGCGCTCCCACACGGCCTGCCCGTGGCCAGCGGCAGCACCGCTCCAGAGCGGGTGAGGTGGAGCGGCGCTGCCAGGCAGGGTGACGGCACACGGGAGGCAACGTCCCCGCGGCGCACGGGAACACAGCGCGGCGTGGCTGCAATGAGGGCCGCACAGGAGCCACACGAGGCTCTGCGGCGGAGGAGCAGGCGGCTACGCGGGGCACCCGAGTGCTTAAGCACATCAGCCCCATCGCGGAAGAGGCACCGCACTGAGGATGTCATTGCCTATTTTATAGACACTGCACTGGAAATGTTACTAACCATTTTACGTGTGCAATGCTTTCTTCTGTGTGTTTCATTTCACGTCTTTCTCACAAGGTAACTCAATGAGTTGATTCAGAGACAACCTACTTCGCGTTCAGCCTCTTTGGATTCACAGTTCACCCCCAGCTCAAGTATCACTTACCTGCTGCCCTCAATGAACATACTGCAGCTTGCAGCAGCAATTAGCAGGGCTGGCAAGGCTACGAGCCCGGGGTACGAGCCTGGGCACCCTGCTGCAAAGAGCTCAGCTGGAGAAGCGAAGCACACAGAACAAGACTCTCCCAAATGAAGGGTCACTTACAGCACAGCGCTGCCCAAAGCTGCCCGGAGGCCACGCRGCCACAACGCTGCTGTGCAAATCTGCTTCACAGTGTGGAACACCCCAGTCTCACAAGTTACGGAGCAAAGCTTGAACAGACACAATGAAGGGCAACCAGGACTAACAGAACAAGGTTGCAGGCAAGGAGCAACCAAGGAGCTAAGACTTTTTACTTTGGAAGAGTCAATGGCCATGGATAGAGAAACTACTGATGCAATAAATAAAAAGTGCACTATTATTCTTTAATTTGTAACCCTATAACACAAGAACTGGAGAAAAACCGCTGAAATCATCAGTAGGCAACAAATTATTATTTTTCTTAATCTAAAAGCTTAATGACTCTAGCTTCACAATACACTAAGAGAAGTTTACAAGTGATTAGCTGGGATGTTAGATCCACTGCCACATAAACCAAATGATTTAAAGGAAAAAAAAAAAAGTACTCTTTACCTAAGTGTCTATTATTGGACTAAGCAGTACTTCTATTTTTAAATAAATCCATACACCAGAACTAGAAATCATTATCCACCTGTGCATTAACTTAGAAAGAGTTGAATTATCACAGTAATAGACATGTAGTGCCAATGCCATAGTGCTCGGTCTGCACACATCAGCCAGAGTGGCAGCAAAGACTAATTCTCAGCACTCGTTTATATCTTTGCCTTGTTCAGACCAGAGGCAAAAGTTCAGCTTCCTGTGAACAAAGACACTCTGCCTTCCCCTTAGCAAGAGGTTGTACATGGAACATTTACTGTTGGCTCTGCTGGTAACTTGTTTCCAGGACAAAATCTTAAATTAGTCTTCTGAATTTTAACTGTAGCGATAGATTGAGTCCTCCTGGTCCTGAGCTTGTGCACTGAGTGGCTACTAAGTCCCTAATTCAACTGCAGGCTCTTAATTTCTTTTCTCCTCAGTCTAAACAGGAACATGTGCCTGCCCTCCAGGTTTTCTATTTATAGTAATGCATGAATATTTATAAATCTATGGTGTATGTCCCATTTGTGTCTGGACACACTCCTTTAAGAGAACAAGTTCACATGTACTATGCCAGAAAATAAACAAATGTCTTTTTTTCTGAAATATTGGCACTTCTTAACATAGACAATACACAAAAATACAGCAGAGGGCAGTATTACATTACTGTGTGGGACATGTTATTTTTAATCTCTTTAACTATGGAATTTTAAAAAATGAATTACATTTTTTTCACAGCCCTTCAATTAAGGGTCCATTGAATGTCTATTGTACACTCAAAAATACAGAAGATATTTTTACCATTAAATTAGTCAAATGTTGCTGAGAGGTTTTTAAGTGGTCATTGTAATAAGAACACCTATCTAAGGTTTTTTATAAGCAGATTATAAACAACTAGAAAAATATTAACTCTCTGCTCCCGTATTCATTATTCCAACTCTTATGTCTTGGATTTCACCAATTTAATGGACAGTAATAACAGTAAGTTTTAGCAGACGCTTCCAGTTATGTCCCCAAATGTATACAATTAATACTCCTCAAGATACAAGCAAACCTTTTCCAGAGCCAGTTTTGGGGGAGAATTTTTTGTTCCAGTTCTGAGAGAGAATTTTTTTGCTTTAACAGAGATACAGATACTGGAAAAATGCTCAAAGGAAGAATTAATAAACACCTTTCAGTATTCAGCTAAAGCTGGTAGACACCAAACTGAATCCATCAAAAGCTGCACAACACTAAGTTGGATCTCTGCTAGCTTGTTGTACCGCATACGCATACTGGGGGTCAAGATGACACCACTGGCAGATTTTATGCAGTAAAAMGAAAACAGCAGGTCCTGTCTAACCTCACCAGCTCCTGTGAAACCTGACTGTACAAAAAGTCCCCCAGCTGCTTTTCGCCTACAGGAAAGCCACTATCCTCTCTGCCTTTCTCAAGGCTCTCCCTTTGGCTATTCTTCGTGGATCTTGTTTTYCTGCCTCGGGTTCTGCTCATGGCTTCCTGCAGGGACCTCTCCAAGGGTCCACGTCAGCCCTGGCCAGCAGCACCCTGAAGAGTCCAGGGCCAAGGGAGCTCAGCCTCACAAGGGACACTTTCATCCAGGCTTCTCGGTACAGACTGCGCTTTCTGCTGACTCGCTACCACCCTGGGAACCACTACTTCTCATATGCTTTTCTGATGGATATTTCCTAGCCAGTTGCTCCTCATCTTGTATCTAAGCAAATAATGGTTTCTACTGAACTGCATCCAATGTTTATTACTATTTCTCCCATCTGCCAAGATTGAGTTCAAATTCTCTAACACACTCGCAGCTTCTTCCAACCTAATGGTGTCTACAAATTGGATATAAAATTCTACTCTGACATCAAGAAATCCTCTTCAAATACATAGTTTAAAGATGAGCTAAGCACAAGGCTACTCAAACGGAGAACTTTGATCTGGGTCCATGATAAATTCTATTTAACTCACTGCCTATTCCAAAATGTTCAAATTCTTGCAATTCTGTATTTCTTACCACTACCTCATGCTAGAAATCCCGTTGCAAAGCTTGCTGAAATCAGGTAGGACTAAWATACCTACCAGCCTGCGAGTAAGAGCCAACAGCACTGACAGGAAATAGAACATCCGAGTCATCATTCAGGACCTGTAGAGGAGTCCAGCTGCATAGCTGAGAACTGCAGGCACTATTTTCATGAGACCTAGAGTAAAGGAAAAAAAAATACGTTTTTTTCCTAGACAACATTACTTTTTCCAAAACTTTTATTTCTTTCTGGCTACTGCTGCAAGAGAGAGGAGAAAACAAACAAACAAAACCACCACTCTGCATTTCAATCTGCCTGCTGGTTTCTTGGTTCAGACATTGAGGTTTTCAGCAGAATTTGGAAACAAGCTACTGTGACCACACTAGGCCAGGTGGTTCAGACTTTTTTTTTTTTTTTTTTTTTTTAAAGCTAAATGAACTTGCCAGTACCCACAAAATAAATAAATAAAACTACAGCAAAGGCACAAAAAAAAGACTTTACTACTGGCTCTTTCACTAAAATGACTTACTTTTCAGAAACTTCAATTTCACCTTCTGTGCCTTTATTTCCTAATGTTTTTCCATACAGCTCATCTTCATTTTCATCTATATCCTCATCATCAATGCTCTTTACGTCTAGTTTCTGGTATTCGTACTCTCCATTCATAAACACTGAATTGCTTTTCCACAAGTGGTTGCTTTTATTCCCATTCAGACTTTTTCCAAGACTACTTTCGGAGGAGGGTAACACAAAAACAGAAGACACGTCTGAATTCTCCTCTGAACTTTCTCCTGTGGCCAGAGTCTTTATGGTATCCCCAAAGTTTTGTTCATCTTCCTCTTCATCAAAYGAGATAATATTTGTCACTCTCTTCTTCTTTTTTCGATCTTTTTTTGATTTTAAATCTGGTAGCAACAGAAAGGTGTCCATTTAAAAAAAAAAAAGGNAGAGAGAGAGAGAGAGAGAGAGAGAGAGAACAATATGCTTAATATTTTTTCCTGAAAGAACTTATAAATAACTTATATTTATGAAGCAAAGGTGAACAGTTATGATTTTCAGACAATGATTAGATAAAACTAACAATGCATTGCTGAAAAGACACCCAAAACATGAAAACAGTGACTAGAAAAGTTTTTTGTTTGTTTCAAATCACAGCTTAATGAAAGTTTATCAAGTTTTTTGGATCAGAAAATTCTTGGACATTTTAGTTATTTCAGAAAACAAGSGGTTAAAACGTCAAAAAGACCAGAAAATAAGATGAGAAACAAAAGGAAAGACACTCAAAACCACAAGGCATTTTAATCACTTTTTTATTGACATGAACCTTTAAATATTTAAAGCTTTTATTTAATATGGCTTACATAATTCAGATTATGAAAAGATAATTTGGAAGTGCATTTTTGACATTATATTGGGGGGAAGGGGGGCTTAAACAATGTTCTAAAACACAAATTCTAAAAGGTCAGCCTTCCAGGCACCGTATCTTATGGGCTACAGCTGGTATTTATTGAAGAACACACCCACAATATGAAACACTTCTGCTTTGCAAGCAGCCAGAGGTAGTTTTGTTTGTACTCTGAAAAGAGAACAGATTGTTTTAGGAAGGAGAATAAAAACTAAAATAAAAAATAAAATAAAATAAAATAAAATAAAATAAAATAAAATAAAATAAAATAAAATAAAATAAAATAAAATAAAATAAAATAAAATAAAATAAAATNAAAATAAAATAAAATAAAATAAAATAAAATAAAATAAAATAAAATAAAATAAAATAAAATAAAATAAAATAAAATAAAATAAAATAAAATAAAATGACTTGCTTAGTCCTTCTGCTAATTAGTTCTCAGTCTTGAGATATGATGAAATCCTTTCCAACTACAGTACATCTATCCTGTGATAGCAGGGATTTTGGAATAACAGCCCACTCTAAACAATGTTATCTGAATTCAAGTATTATTTTAGTGTTGTTTAAAGCCCTAAGCAATGAAGGTATGGTTTCCAGTTTGCCTTAGAAGGACTTTGCTTTAAGAAAACAGATCTCTTTAAAGGCCAAGGGCAAAAGCAGATTTCATCTATTCCTTCAATTTCCATCTCTCCCATTCCCTTTTCCCTTTGTGTCATAATTAAATCAACTTAAACTTCAGAACCTTATGGAAAAATCTAGATTTTTAATTCAAAGGATACAGAAATCCCAGTATTACAAATCTACAATCTTACTTGCAATCTATCTTTCAATCTGATATATAGCAAAAGATACATGATAGTGTAGCCAAGKGCCAAATGTGAGCATGTTGGTTATGACAAATCAGCACATCAGGGTTTGCAGGGCATAATGTTATGAACTAGAATCTGTCTTGACAAGTCAAACACCTTACAGAGAAGTTATAATACACATTTATTATCCATTATTCAGACCTGTATTTCCAAAAAGCTTATTTTTATCTCCCGTTCAAGTGCTTCACATGTATTTTTAAGGGGTTTTTTTTCCTCTCTGTGTAATAGTATATTAAATTTGTTTTTAATCAGAAAAGGATTTAAACACATTTGAAGACTTTACAATGTTCTGAACGACATTCACACTGCAAGAACACTTACCAGCATTCACGCTCCTTGACAAAACAGGAAGTGGGTCAGTATCTTGCTCAGGTTTGATAAGGATGGAGACAGCAGACGAGGCAGTTATCTCCCTGAGAAGGCTGCTGACACCTTGAGTGGATTCCTTCAATAACGAGGTGACATTTTGCGTCGATTCCTTGAGCAGATCAGATACTGTGGGTATACATTTGCTCTGACCATTTAAATCCTTATTATCAATGTTGATTGCAAAAAGGATGGAGTTCAGACCTTTCAGACAAAAGAAAGGAAAAAGAGTAGACCGAAAAACCCAATATATACTTCAAAAAAAAGGTACATGGATAGAGCTTAAAGATACAATAGAGATATATGACACGTAAAAACATTTTCCCCACAATTCTCTGTATTTTAAGAATGAAATTAACGAATGAATTTTATTCTTTCATGTACCATCCACTCTTTGTTAGAGAGTATTTCAAACTGATGCGATCAGTTCTGAATTTTCTTTGATGCCTGTACAGCTGACTAACATTAAATATGCAATAAGGACTGCCAACTGGTTTATTTATAACCTGATACTTAAATCCATTTCACTTCAACTTTGTCAGTTCTTATACCTTATAAAGCGCTTTTTAAATTGTCAGTTCTTAAATCATATTTAAAAAAAACGAGGGAGGGAGGAATTCTGTCTTCATAACAAACCATGTATCCAAGAACCCCAGGTGTAAACAGCAACACAGCAGCACTTCTATGGTCACACTCCAAAAAAGTCATCTATTACTATTCCTGACTCTCAATTCTCCCACATATTTACTTTATATGTTCTTTTCTTGTGAGAAGCAACTGTATTAAATAGACATAGTTCAAAAAATGAAGACTTCACCCTGACTCATGAAGAGTTTGCTTTTATTTGCAAAAGACTTCTCAGCAGCAGTGGACAGGCAAGATCCTGTATTTTGACAGTACACCAATTCAGAACATTAAGTGGTATAACCCCCTAGACTGCATACCCTCCAATACCTGACATGTAATGCACGCGGTCTACATAAGCTAACAGTGCATTTAAATAGTTTTTTTCCGTGAGCAACAACAGAAAAAAATCTCAAAATAGTTTTCCCAGGACAGTAGCAAAATTCAAGTTAGTCCTACCAGCTGCCATTGTAGGAATCATACTAGAACGTTCTTCATCCATCATAAAAGACCAGTCTTCATAGAAGACACTATAAATTGAAAGGTAAACACTTAAAATATACAGCCTATATCAATACCTATTCCACTTCAAATGAAAATAAGCTTTAGGACACCAATGGATATAATTCTGAAGTCCTGCAGTATGTAGAAAGTCTGAATAGTTTTGTCATGCAAGCTAAAATAGCAAAGGTTAAAGAAATTTTTGTTTATTTATATAAGTGAAAAAATACACGAGAATTACTCAAGTAGCAACTTCTCTCCAGTTGCGCACACTCCATCTTTCTACAGAGAAAGAAGTCATTGTAGGCAATGAGGGCCACGTTACAATRATGGTCACAATTACTTCTGTCTCCATAATTTCAGATGACTGCACTTGACCCTAATTATCAAGCCATTTTCAAGTCATTTTACAAAACATTAAAATGCATGGCTACAAACAAACAATAAAAACCCCACTTGATATAGTAATATATTTCAATATTCAAAAGCAAAAAATTAATTACCTTAATCCAAGTCAGCTAGGAATTTGAATGCAAGTCAGTAAATAATAATATTAATGACATTGAATTTGTAAGTGGGAAATTAAATAGCTTCTACTGATTCATGTGTGTTTTGTCCCAGATGTGCACATATTCTCCCTCAAAACTTTCTCTGTACTTGCACATCTCCTACACTACAAAGTCATCAAATACCAACCTCAGCCGATTCTTATCTGCAAGCAGCATGTGGACATATCGTTCCAGTGAATGCTCGTTCAAGGCACAGCGCAGCCAGGCTCGGCCTCGACCAATATCTGTAGTAATTGCCTTCAGAGAATAGAAGCGCTGCAATTCATGTTTATTCAGAACTTCTTTTACATAATACCAAAATACTGGTTCTGGGGAAAAATAAACAAATAAACAGAACCTCAGCACTATTACTTTTTTTCTATTGAACTTTATTTTACAAGTTTCACCTGGTCTTATTTCAAAATCAACACAGTGCTTAAGACTTGAGAAGTTAGGGCCCCGGGTGTGCATCCATTATGTAATTTCAAAAAACAGAAAGGCGATCGGATATAACACGGAACAAGATGAACTATTTACCATCTGCTTATAACTTTCCATTTAAATATGCTGTTGACTACTACAGATCTCAGCTAGGTTTCGTGTGATTTTGGGTTTGCATAACTAGAATGGTCGAATAACCGAAGCAGTGAGAAGGCTGTTAAGGTATGCAATTAGTAACATATTAACAGATTCAAGCATAGGCACACAGCCTTAAAGGAAGAAAAAGAGGGGAAAACAGAATTGAGACCGTCAGCCATTTCACAGAAAATTTAACACACATCCAACCTTCATGAAAGAAAGGCACACGCTCCTTAGGAAAGTTTAATGAACGCCTTCAAAAAAAATTCAAGTGTATCAAATTTCACAAGAGACACATGAAAAAAAAAGATCAGTGATATCTAGAAGAGATTGATTCTACATTTCCTTGCTTACCACGCAAGACTTAATTTTTAACGTAGTTACAAGTCTTAAGAAAAGGTCACCTCTTCGCCTATGATGTTTCTTTTTCTCTCCACTAAATAAGAGCGCAGGCGGTCAAGGCTTTGAATCGGTTCTCATACAGGTTATGCCTTTTCTTGTTGCARCGTGATCATTTGGAACAGGCTGCCCAGAGAGGTTGTGGAGTCTCCTTCTTTGGAGATCTTCAAACCCGGCTTGGACGCAGCCCAGTGCCACGTGCYCTAGGTGACCCTGCGTGAGCAGGGGGTTGGACTAGATGACCTCTGAGATCCCTTCCAAGCATTCTATGATTCTATGATTCTGTGATTTGGGGATACGTCTTTGCTTATCTGCTGAAAGCCACATACAGGTCAGAAAAGCTACTTTAGAGACCTAAATATATATCACCAAATTAGAACCACTAACTAAATTTTTCATGAAACAGGTCTGATAACAACACAAGAATACACCTTAGCTCTTCAAAACACAATAAGCTGTGCAGAATAAGGGAACCACAAAGAGATGAGAAAGAAAATTTCCATGTAGTCATCAGCTCAGCTGTCCATCTGAAGGGACTTAACACTCCTCTAGCACACTGAAGACTGAACTCAGAGGATCCTTGGTTTAATCCAGCATTATCTTAGGCTCCAGCAAGTGTCACGCGATCAGCGTGTAACTGCAGTCCCTCACCRCACTCCAGGTTTATTCACTCGCTGACAGTGGAAGTCATGCCTTCCTGAAGGAACACTAGTCAGATTGCCACAGAAAGGACAGAGAGGTCCACAGAATATAGAAGAAAAATATCATGTTCTACCCATTTCTATTTATTTGCATCCACATTACAAAAATAAAATGTTTGCATACCTAAAATTAAAACATTCTTCATACAAACGCAGCATCTTGAGGATTACACTGATTTAAGGATTTTGATTTTGGGAACCAGCAAAGTTCATTCCTCTGTCTTGTTAAAACTCAAAACAAAGGTAAAGGAAGTGAAAAATATTACAGGAATAGAGCAGATTTCCCCTTGTGCTTAAAGTGAAACTCCATGTTTTCTAGCACTGTGATGATTTCTAGCACATGTATCTAGGATTTTCAAAATCCTCAAACTTTGGATTATCATCAGTTTTCAATCAAAATGTGTTCAATGGAAAAAGGGTATAGGCATTCTATACTTTAAGTCCCTTCRTGACAGAAACAAATACAGATCATTCCAAAAATCAACTGCCTCAAAGTGACCAAATGGGAGATTCTCTGTAACTGTTCTTAAATATATATATTATAGATAAAATTCAGAAAATTAAATACAGTGACACCAAGTAATTTGTATCAAAAAACTCCTCTGACATTATGTTCATTCTCATTGCTGCAAAAAGCCACATTCTTATTCAGGAACTTCCATATCACTCACTCTTAAAGCTTCCAGTAGTAAAAATGTTTCCTTCTTCTATTCACCAACCATAAATCACTATCCTGATCTCTTCTACATAACCTGATWTACAAGACCGTAGATAAAGGACTTTACAGATATCCAATAATAAACTGCTCCAAACTAAACTGCTGTAAGTTCCCAAATAGCAGAGATACCTTCCTACATTTGAAAACTAACAGATTTCAAAAAACAGAACCAAAAATTTCACATATCCTTAACATTAACAACAGACAGGAGAGAAATTGTAAGAGCTATACAGAATCTCTTCCAATTCAACGCAGAACAATCAGCCTAGATCAGAGAGATTAAGAGAGTAAAATATTTACCACACCAAAGCAAAAGTCTCAGCTGCAAGCTGAGAAAAAAGAATAGTAGATAATTAAGTCATAACCATTAAAAAGGTAACACAGCAGAGTGGCAGCTATCCAGAGACTGAAAGAGGCCACAGAAGTACCCAATACTGTGCACACAAGGAAGGGGAAAGGACAYGTAAAAGTTGAATTGCTGTAACAGTTTTTGTAACTGTTATAAATAACTCCTTAGTTGTTATTAATATACTCATCATCCTTATTTGTTCTTCCAAAGTGCACCAGTGCAGGTGTTGCATTCCCCCCATTATTTAGTTTGGAGCTGAACACAGGAAGCTCAAAAACTTCTCTAAAAGTCYGTTTTCTCTCTGAGAAAGCAAAGTCCGTAGGCTTAGACACATGAACAGGACACAAGCCAACACACAAGACTCAACATTTCGCCATATCAAAGGGCAAGAAACATATAGCAATTAAATATATATAAAAATATATACGAAACTACTCTAAGTTTTAATGCAACATCCACTACATGCACGGTAAGTCAGAGATCACAATACATTAGTAATTGCAGGACCATGAAAACAATTCTGATACATGCTACACCTGTGGGATTTTGAGGCCAAAGAAATGCTCTATTATAAACTATGTGTCCAGTTTAAGTTGGGAGGCCATTGCAAGACGGATGATATGAACAACTGCATATATTTTGAATGAGAAAATAAGGGCAATGTAAAGGTYATGAGAGTGCAGGAAAAAAAATAAAGAAATCCCTTAAAAATAAAGCAGAGAAAGTAATATAAAGCAACTTATCCAACATAAGCAATCTAAGTCATGTTTTTAAAGATGACATCAATAGCTAGAGTATAAATATGCCTGATGCTGTGATGAAAGGGCAACCAAAGAACAAAATAAAACACAGTTCAGAATGAAACTATAATAGCATAAAAGCAAACAGCACAATCAAACAATGTTTATAAAATTGCTCATGGTATTTTTCATGGTGGCACTGTAGGAACTGCAGATTTCCAAGTACTAAAATTCCTAGAAAAAAAATGGTATGAAAATTAAACTAGATTAAGAGGCAAAAAACTCTTTTCACAACATAACAAAACTTCAAGAACCTACGTAAACAACAGCTTGCAGTTTAGTTCATTTCTTACATTTCTCATTAGAAGTTATCTCAATTGCTTATCACAGAATCACAGAATGGTTGAGGTTGGAAGAGACCTCTAGGGCTCACCCAGGCCAACCCCCTGCTCCAGCAGGGACACCCAGACCACATGGCACAGGGTGGCATCCAGGCAGGTTTGGAAGAGAAGTCTCCTTCTCTCCAGAGAAGCCTCCACAACCTCCCTGGGCAGCCTGTTCCAGGGCTCTGGCACCCTCACAGTGAAGAAGTTCCTCCTCACATGGAGATGGAACTTCCCAAGTTTCAAATTATACCCATTGCCCCTTGTCCTGTCACTGGCCACCACTGAGAAGAGCTTGGCCCCTTCCTCCCTACGTTCCCCTTCATGAACTTATACATGTTAATCAGATCCCCTTTCAGTYTTCTCTTCTCCAAGCTGAACAGGCCCAACTCACTCAGTCTCTCTTCATATGACAGATGCTCCAGTCCCTTCATCATCTTTGTTGCTCTCCGCTGGACCCTCTCTAGAAGCTCCACGTCCCTCTTATACAGAGGAGCCCAGGACTGCCCCCACTGCCCCATAAGTGCGACCTCACCAGAGCCGAGCAGAGGGGCAGGATACCCTCCCTGCCCTGCTGGCAACATCCTCCTGATGCAACCAGGATCCCATTGGCCTTCTTGGCCACGAGGGCACACTGCTGACTCATGTTGAATCTCCTGTCACCCAGGACTCCCAGGTCCTTCTCCATGGAGSTGCTCTCCAGCAGGTCAACCCCTAATCTGTACTGGTGCCTGGGGTTATTTCTCCCCACGTGCAGGACCCTGCACTTGTCCTTACTGAACCTCAGGAGGTTCCTCTCTGCGCACCTCTCCAGCCTGTCCAGGTCCCGCTGAATCGCAGCACAGCCCTCTGCAGTGTTGGCCACTCCAGCCAGCTTGGTATCATCTGCAAACTTGCTCAGGGTGCMCTCTGTGCCCTCGTCCAGGTCATTCATGAATAGGTTGAACAGCACTGGGCTCAGTACTGACCCTGAGGAACACCACTGGCCACAGGCCTCCAGTTGGACTCAGCCSCATTTATAATCACCCTCTGAGCTCTTACATCTATCAACATTTTAAAATGGAGTGGTTCTGATTAGTGAATTACCTGTTTCGTTTTTACTGGAGAAACCTGCTGCCTGTTTGATTGCTGCTGCTGTCAGGGCTAATCCTCGGCTCCTCTTCAGACCATGCTGCAACACAGCTTCAAACTGAGCACACAAGCAAGTGACTCTGCAACGAAATTACTACAGAAATCACGCAAAGGAACATGAACAGTCAACGTCAGTCCCTGAACAGAGAATGTGCAGGTGAGTCGCTATTTAATATATAGAGAAAAACATCTTTTATTTGCATTAATCACACTATTTGCAAACAACATAACCTACCGATACCTACAGTCTCATCATGATTATTCCAAACTAGGGCACAAATTCTTTATTCAGACTCATTAGCAGGCAGTCTGAAAAGTCATCATCAACTTTTAGCCTGCTTGTTAATCATATTATTTTAGCTTCAGTTTATCTATTTTTCATGCAATGCAGTTACATTTGTATATTACCAAGTGCATTCGAAAACGATGGTTTTCTGAAGGCACATTAAAATTTCTAGAGAAAATGTTCTTGGCATTATCACGCCACAATCCATGAAGTGCAAGCCAAAGAAAACAAATCAAACACATTTTAACACCCCTCAGAAGTGTTAGGCCTAGCAAAATAAGCAAGACTTTTCTAGAGATCTGTTTCATTGCCATCTYCTTTAATTGCCATTCTCTACAATATTATTTATCAATTTCCTGAAGTACAAATTTTTAACATAATGCAGTTAGTAAATAACTTTTTGCTTTAATTTTTATGTGCCATTACATAAATAATAGTTAAATTATAAATTTTTAAAAAGCTGTCACCTGGCTGCTAAAGCCAATTAGTAAAACTAAGAACTACAGACAATTAACTAAGTCAAAGCAGTTGGATACAAAGGGTTGACAAAGCGGCCTCTGACTCCACCCAAGATTCCAGCACTGCAAATTTCTATTCTGGGACACAAAAAAAGATAAAGTTGAGGAAGAAGATTTAAGGAGGAAAACAAGAGAGGCTTAGCTAGCAGAATCATCTGAAAAATAGAGCTTTTAAAACAAAAATACTTTCCAGTACATTTATGTTAGGAAAACTTCAAAATACTAAAAAGGTTGAGTACCATTCAGTTAAAGTTTATGGTTTATTACTGCTGCAAAGAAGTGATGTGGTCAAACAGAAATTCCAGTAAATGCATAAACAAACAAAAAAAAAGCTACATGGTTCTTGAATTCAGAGAAACCAGAACAGAAACTAGTTTCTGTGAGTTTGTATTATTAAAAAATCCATGTGCACTGCAAATGAAAGCCAGAAAATTAAGCAGCAGTTTACAATTTAGCCATTAATGAAGGAAAAAAAAAGAAAAAAATAAAGAAATATTCTATTAAATACACTAYATATATATTAGGCATTATAAATAGTCTGTTGTGAGAGTCTGTTAAACAAAGGCAGAAAAACAGGAAGATGTCTACTGTTACAGACATAGCAGAGCTCTGAACAGTTACAATCTCAAAGATRAAGTGCTAGAAGGGAAAAGTTTGAAGAACCATAGATTTTACTAGACTTTGATATAAATTCTCAGACTATTCTCACAAAATTATCTCATAACATTTAGCATGGTTTCAATCCAAAACACCATAAAAAAMCCAAAAATCTATTCCCATAATTTCCACTTTCTTTTGAAGCCTGAAACTGCCTAGCTATAATACCTTACTCAGCATGTCTACTAAATTCTGCAGAAGATATTTACAAAGACAATTTTACCAGCATTGTATCTTTCAAATTGTAATTTCCCCTGCTTACCAGGCAATAAATACTAAAGGTCATCCTTCAAGTTCTTAAAAAAGAATCTGCCATAAAGCAGATCTTAAAGCAAACTACGCAACAATGGAGAAGTTCCAAATGTGGAAAAATCATTCTGCATTGTAGGTGTTTGCTGTTGCTGAGTTGATAATAACCTACTACAAAGGCAGCATCATTCTTGTGTCCCACATCAAATAAACAATAAAACCCCACCTATTTCTACCTAAAACTTTTCTGAAAAATGAATAAATAAGAAGCTTAGCCATTCAAGGAGCAGCTCCAGTGTGTAACACCATATGCAGTGGTACTGCAAGGTCCATTTGCCCTCTCATTCCTCTGCACTTCTTCCTGCTTTCCCACATCTCTCCCCGCTCCCAGCAGCACGATCTTCCCTTCTTTGGAGCAACTCCAGCATTCACCAGACAAATTACTGAAAGTACTTAACTCACTGAACTGGCAGAAAACTATGTTTTGAAGGAATTTTTTTTCTTTTAGTCAATTTACTCCAAGCAGATTAGACGATCACAACAGTTTGCTTAGAAAGGCAGTGAGTTAGCAGAGAAATAGGGACCTTGAGGAGAAGCATCAATCCTTCTCCACTGCCCAATTCAGGAGCAAGAAATTRCTATCTTGGCCTCCTAGAAGTCATGAAAACACAGCCTTAGCCCTGCTCTTTAAGACTGAATTGGAAGGGGATTGGAAAGAACAAACTTTGGATTTTTTGGTTTTTTTTCCCCCCAAAAAAAATTATATTAATCAAAAGGAACAATTTATAGGACACAAAAAGAAGGAGAGTAGATTTAATCTCCCCAGGAAATCAGGAATAAAATAAAAAGAAAAAAAAAAGTAAACAAAAAACATGAGCAACTCTGCAAGTGGGCATTAAACACCCTTGAGTTCCAGGTGTGAAGCTACGTGAACAACGGCTGTAATGATAATTACATTACATACAATGATGCATGTATGTAATGATAATTACATACATAAAAAATGCACTAATTTTAAAAGAGCTTTTTTTTGGGAGACTCCATGGGTGCCAGTTAACTACTTTTGACT